CCCCCCCCTCCCCCCTCTTCTCTCTCTGCTCGTGCGCGCGCTTCGCAGGGACTGGCCATCCATCGATCCATCCTCATCGGCAGCACCTCCACTCCCCTCACCGCGTTGGAGAAGATGAGCGCACCGCCTGATCACACGCATCGATGGACAGTCGCTGTTCGCTCAGCCGCCAGTTGGCCCTTGCCAAGCGTCGTGCCTTCGGCTGGTGGTGGTGGTGGAGATGCTGGCACATCCGCATCCGCATCCGCATCCGCTACCCATCACGGCAGATCAAGGAGCGTCAGAGCAAGCGTGGATCTCTCCACCGCTGCTTCAGGGGATGGCAACGCTGCATCGGCATCGGCATCGGCACCGCACGGTCAGGGTCAGGGTCAGGGTCAAGCGGGAACGCCTACAGGCACGAGCACACCACTTGCAACACCCTCCCAAACGCCTGGCCCCAGCACTTTGGCAAACACCGTGTCCACTCGAGCCAGAGAAGCAGCTGAATCGCAAAATCATGATTACCATCGCATGGTGGGTGGCAAGGATGACATCTCCCACTTTGTCAAAAAGGTCACCTTTAAATTGCACGAGACGTATGCCGGCGCTTCCAGAAGTGAGTGGGGGGGGGGGCGGCTGGAGAGGTGTGAGCGTATGGCCAGCCGAGCCGAGCTGATCGACTTGTCCCTCGCATTCATTCCCTCCCAGCCGTGGACAAGCCGCCTTTTCAAGTGACAGAGACGGGTTGGGGTGAATTCGACATTCAGATCCGAATCGTGTTTGTTCCCGAAGCCAACGAGAAGCCATTGACCACATATCATCGGCTCAAGCTACATCCATGGCATCCCATCGAGAAGCCCGTCACAGTGACAGAGGCGGATCATACAGTCGATGGCGATTCGGACCGCGGAGAGGGGGATGCGGGGGATGCGGGGAATGCGGGGGATGCAGGGGATGCAGGGGATGCTGCAGAGGATGAAAAGGAGGCGCAAGAGGCTACGCAGCAGCCGGGAGACACTTCTACCTCTTCTGCCACGGCCGCACCGCATGCGCACACCGAAAACCCTGCAGCACGGCCCCTGCTGCCCCCCGTCGTGCACAGCTGGCAATACGATGAGATCGTCTTTCCAGAACCCACCGAAATCTTCTACGATATCCTCATCAAGAGGCCACAGAGCAGGTGAGCGGAAAGCGAAGCGTGCACTCCGAATCCGCAGAATCTCCGCGTCAGCGTGGCCTCAAGGCTGACTTGGCGCTCCCTTGACAGCTTGTTCCCCACCTCTGCGCAAGCATTCTCGGATCCGACCGCTTATCGTTCCTATCAATCTCTGCTTTCCAACATACCTCCGGATCTCTCTGCCGGCGTCGGCACAGGTCTCGCCTCTGACGTCAGTCGACACTTTGTCCCGCTCGACGGAGCTCCTACGAGCGGTGCGGATGGCGAATTAGTCCTTGGCGACGCAGGTAGCGGCGATCCGACCAGCGATCAAGCCAACGCCTCCACCGAGTCCCACACTAAAAAGGTACTCCCTCTGCCGCCTCATCCGCTGCACGCGCCCTCCGGAGCGCTGTTCGATGCGCTCAGCACCGAAGCTATCAACAACGAGGCGCAACGGCTGGACTTGGCGCGTATCTGCGCGGTCAGGGAGCTGGAAGAGTATAGGAAGAGGTTGATAGATGGGGAGAGAAAGTTGAGAGATGTGAGGAGGAGGCTAGCCAGTTGACCGAAGCGGCAAGGAGCGACGTTTGTGTTCTCAGCACAATGATTGAGGCTGGCTCTTGCCTTGCCGCGATGTACGGTAGCAATGGCAACACGCCGACTCATTGCTCACAAAGTAGGATCTGGTGAATTGTTTCTCAATCAACCAGCTTGAAAGGGAAAAAAAACGGCGAAGTCAGGCGAAGACTTTGGGAAGCGTCGAGAATGTGTTGCTGCAGCGCGGTATCTCAAACGGGCGCCTTGTGCGTCTGTGGGCTGCCCGCTTGTTCCAATGACGGGAGCTTGTGGGTAGACGTTAGAGTTGCAATACTCTGTGCCTTGCCAGCTCGTCTGGAACGATGTGGCCTTCTACGACTTGTGGAAGCGGGCTGTTTGATGCGTACGCTGAGCACCTCTGCTGCTCCTTCTTTGCGTCAAAGGCTCAATAAAGCTGGCTGATCCAGTACATGCTGCTTGAGCCAAAGTAGACGTGCTGCTGCTGCTGCTGCTCCCTTCCTTCTCCGAGTCGCTCGCGTGGTGCGCCCATAATGACAGATCCCAAGGGATTGCACGAGAAGCGAACGTCGTCGAGGAGTTGCGGGAGTAGTGCACGCTCTGCAGCATGCTTTTCTGATCATTGCCCCGCTCGTGCATCTAGCCAGCTCAGAGCTGCGTCTTGGGAAATGTGAGCTAAAGGGTTTGTACAGCGCCCATCACGAGAAACTCATGTTGCGCATTGCCGGCGAGAGGCGTCGTCGCAATGACGCATAGGCAGAGTAGGCCGATTGGCATAGCAAGAGCCATCGAGACGCGCCCCCGTCTGCAGATGCAAAAACGTCCCAATCGTCCTGTGGCAGACGCGATGAGTCAAAGGAGAAGCGACTCGGTCGCCGTTTTCCGCACGCGAAGAAATTTGCCAATAGACGAGATGCGCGCCGGAATCTGAACATTTTGTACCGAGTCGGAGTGTGAGAGGGGAGATTCTGCTACTACAAAGGAGAAGAAGCCTTGCAGACTATTCGTCGCAATCACATCATTGGCAATGTTTGTGTTGGCGTCGAGTCAAACGTTGGCATGGCATGGCAGAGCTATGACGCTTGACTTCCGATTGTATCACTTCGACCGAGCGCTTGCCTTCTTGCTGAAATTCCTCAATTCGCGCACGACCCTCGAGGGGCTGACTTCATCACTCCTCGCACGCAAAGGCCCAACGACCAGGCCACCAAGCCTCAATCTTTATGACTGTGAATGCCGATCATTTTCGAATGCTCTCTGCATCGACGGATTGGACACGCAGAGGTGACGTTCGCAACCGAACCTTCTCGACGAAGGGAATGACATCTTGCATTCTGCACGTTGTCAGACGAGCGCCTGACACCGTGCCTCTCAAATCAGCTCTTGAATGGCGTAATGCGCACCGGCATCACTTGCATTCTGTAGTCAAGGCAGCATGTCCCTCATCGAAGCTTTAGACCCAACTTTGAGGTTGAGCTTCAATCTCAACTTCATCCTGATCCTAGGCAATCTCCACGGTTGACGAGTGACCTTCAATCGCGTACTGACTTGCGCTCCAGCCGAAGCCTGAACACTCTTGATGGAGCGAATGATCGCGCCGACCGTGCCGGTGCTCATAGTCTTGAGACTAGATATGCCGCGCCATACGCCGTTTCGAGGCTTGGAGAAGCGCTGCTTCAATGCTGCTGCTGTGCGGGAAGTGGGAGCAATCAAGGGAAAGCCACGTTTGTTGATGTGAGGAAGAGTGGCGGCATCTTGAGCGCCCGAGTCTGACTGATCGGCAAGCGCGTGGGTAGCTGCCCGCAACTCGCGCCACTCGTGCAGGCTCAAGGGAGAATTTCGACCAGAGGCCTTTGTCAAGTCATCCTTCTGTCTTCGCACACTCTGCCACTTGGTCCGGTGAGAGATGGGTCTCTTTGAGCGCTCCAAAGGTGCTCTGCGCGGCTTGTGCGCGGTGGACGCGACCAGAGGATCTTCCTCGCTGGGACTCGTCAAGCCGGATTGCAGCGTAACTGCTTGCCGGTCGATTGCAGCCTCGACAAGCTTCGCTTCGCTGCTCGCAGTATCTGGCAGACCGCCCAAACGGCGCTCCAGACGATGTGCATCGCTTTGTGGTGAAGACGTACCTAATGCAGGCGATGTCAAAAGAAGCGTGAGACGTGAGCTTGCTCTGCGCTCGACAAATGTCCGAGGACCTCGATGGTCTCGCTCACCTAGCGGGATAGCTGTCGAGGTGCATGCTAGTAGCAGCGCGGCAAAAGACAAAAGATCCGAGGGAATGATGAACATATCGAAGATAGAGGATGAAGAAGACGCATCGGTCAGAGGTAGGAATCTCCCAGACAGAAGATCACGACCATCGTGGTCGGTGCATGCTGGGGATTTCGTTTGCAGAGCCATTTTAATCGATAGCCTGATAGCCGTGCGGTCCCTGAATAGTTTTGTTCCCATTGCCTCCTTTCGCGACGGTCATGTGGCGTCTACTCCAGAGAGACGTCTGCCGACGGGCTTCACCCAGCTTGACGTAGACTAGTGGCAAGCCAGGCGCGGCAAGGGTCAATCAATCTCAGCCTCCGCCCCATTTCGCCCTCGCATCTGCCATGCCGCTCGTAGGTCGGCCAGTCCCACACGTCAAAAGCGTCCGTCTATTGCCCCTGCAGTTTGAGGAAACGTCGATCGAGCGATCTAGTTGAGGATCGTGCAAGCAAAATGCCAAGTTGAGGGTTGACGTAATGCGCAGACCACATTGTGATTGCTCAGAGTTCCGAATGCTGCAAACACGAGCAGTGTCTCGCAAGATCGTCTGGTCGTGCTCTGTCGTGACTTGAAAGCTCGGCGGGTGTGCGCAGTGAAAACACGAATTCGGCGCGGCTATCGGTCAGACATGGCAGCGCACTGCGCAAGCGTTTCTCAAAAAGATCAAAGAATGCCTTTGAAAGTGGCGCTTCTTGATCAGTCCAATCCAGTCCCGTCGAGGTGACCCCAGCGGGCTGATCTCAAGTGGCGGACCTTACCTACCGCAACGCGGGTGATCAGTCGAGGGGCACGTCTTAGTGGCGAAGATCACGCCACGACAATGAACTCGAGCTTCAGGGTCAGTCGTCGCTCGGACTCGAGATCTTGGTGAAGGATCGAAATGGTTGACATTATTGCTCTCGAGTTCTAGAGTCCACGAACAAGTGGTATGGGAAAGGACGTACGAGCGCATCTCGTGTACATCAGTCTGCACGATAGCTTTCTGGGGCGCGGGGCCATGACACTTGCCGCACTACCTGGCCTTCTTTCTCTCATTCGCCCCTCGCAAAAAGCCCCACTTGCTTTGAAGTTCGCCTTCCCAAAACATCCGCACATTTCTGTTCACATTCGCAAACCTTTTCACGCGCTCCTCGTTCACCTTTGTAAGGCCGACGAGATGTTCGATGGCCAGGGTGAGCATAATGATGGCGGGTGCGAGTAGGAGCGCAAAGAGCGGGGCCGATATGGCTCGACTCTTTTCGATCAGGTTGAGCAAGGTGTAGATGAGCAGGTTGAAAGGTGGGATTTCCCTCTCTGCTGGGCTAGCTTCGAATGGCGTCTTGGCTCCAAGCGCAATGGCAGCCCTCAAGCCCGAGCTGAAACCATCTTCATGAAATCCGTAGTTGGTCCAAGCTCCGGCAAAGTACGCGCCGCCCACGCCTTGCATTTCTCTCAACTGCGCTTGAGCAGCGACGGATTGTTCGGTGTACAAGGGGTGCTCGTACGAGTAGCTGCCCTTGATTTTTTGAGGTGCGGGCTGAGAGTCGGGCGAAGGGTTGAGCGTGACGAGCACGTGTCCATGTTTCTCCTCGGGCAAAGATTGAAGCAGGTTCATCCAGTATGTCAAAGTCACTCGGTCCTCATCCAACGATTTCTTATCCTTTGAAACGGCCAGAAAATTCCAAGCGGACCAAGCACTTTTGCGCACCGGCATGAGCTTCTCATCCGAGTGCAGCACAGCCACGTTCTTGTTGAAGTGAAAACGAGCTAGTGTGGATTCGAGCGCCTTGCTCGTCGTTCCTTGCAGTATTGCCCTGGCTTGATCAGCATGGCACGCAAAGACGACTCGATCAAACACGTGCTCCCCTCCACTCCTCGTCTTTATCACCCACTCTCCCGTCCCTTCATCCCTCTTCGCGCTGACCACAGTACCCTCTTCTCCCACTTTCAAAGCTGCATCGGGCAATTTGGCAAGGATCCTGTCCACGTAATTCTTGCTGCCCCCTTTGATCGTCAACCAGACTGGCCGATCGAGTATTTGGAGGAGATGGTGATTGTGCATGAATCTAAGCAGGGTGAGAGCTGGGAAAGCAGAGAATGCTAGACCGGGAGGTGTGGACCAGATGCAAGCCGTCATTGGCTAGAGAGAAAGGGTGGGGAAGGGGGAAGGGGGGGGGGGGGGGGGGGGAGGAGAAGGCCAAGTGAAAGGGCACGTACGTGATGCGTGGTAGCGACGACGTGTCAGTCAGCATCAGCGTCCACATGTGCTCTCTGCGCATGCAGCTGCTGCTCACGATGAGGTAATTGTTCCTGAACGCGTCTCCGTAGCCCCTCTGATCCAACCAGCTGCCAATGTTGCCGTTCACAGCCTTGCCGTTTCGCGCATCTCGCAGCGAATCGAGACTCTGATGATTGAACCTGATGATGTCCCACACCATTCTCCAATGCGAAGGGTCCAGCAGGTTTTCCAATTGGCAGAAAAGAGCTGCAGGTCCGGAACCCGACCATTCGAAAGCGCCCCTCTGAGATTGCTGCTGCTGCTGCTGTTGCGACTTTGATGGCTCATCGCTCTTGTTTGTGCGAAAGAAGGGCAAGGAGGGAGCAAAGGAACGAGAGACGGAAAAGGACATGTCGGATTGCAAAATGGCAATGTCCAGATGCTTGAGGAATCGGAGAAAGTTGGGATACGTCACCTGCCATGCAGGGCGATCAAGGTGAGAAGAAGGGGATGCGTGAGCAGAGGGGGGGGGCAAGGCTTGAGCAGGGCACGGGCGCGGGCGCGGGCACGGGCGCGGGCACCACGATGACAATGAGCAGGCACGCACCTCGTTGAAGACGATGAACCCGCTTGATTAGCATTCATTTCGATTGCCAAAGTCAAGTAAGCAATGGTGTGCGTGCGAGTTAGAGCGTCAGTGTTGCATGTCTCACGCACGCCAGGCGCCCACCCACCCCCTTCCACCACGTACGCGACAAACTCACGTATCGACCCAACACCCCTGCTGCTTGTCTCCCGCTTGTCCCACAGGTGGCTCAAACCATACCGTGTTGGTGTGTCCCCCCACCTTCTCCCCAGCTTCGAACAGCGTGACTTGATGCTGCGAATGTTCATTCAGAGCCCAAGCAGCTGATAATCCCGACACGCCGCTTCCCACAATTCCCACGCGCATGCTTGACCGAGTCTGTCTGTAGTTGTGGAGTGTAGAGGAGGGGGGCGCGAGTGAGCGAGCCAGCGTTCGTACACGAAAGATCTGGAGAAGCCGCAAATTGGAATAGAGAGGGGCGAGAGAAGGGTGGGGGGAGAGAAGCTCATGAGCGTGGATGGGATGGGGCCCCGAACGCAGTCACGAGTCAAGAATCACACCACAAATGTTGGCGCAATCAAATCGACCAAGTTTGTACGGCGCAGCATGGACTGAACGCGCGCTGCATGCATGCTGACTGACCATGCAAGGATTCGCGCGCGCGTCCGTGCGAGTCGATCCGCGGAAGTCCATGGATTCGCATCCCGCGCTTGTTGCTATATACTTACGCATGCAGCACTCGTGACTCACGCTCACTCTGACTCCATCTCAAAGAGGGCACAGCTTAGTAAAGGTGATCATGGCTGAGTTCCGACAGGCAGCATCCCAGGCTGCATCAGCCATCTGCATTCACGATTGTTAGCTGGTTTATGTGCCAGTTGAGGCCTATGTCGGTTGTCTTGTTCAACTTCCCACTGGGCCTACTTACTTCCTAAGAGGTCAAAAAGGTTCCGCCATTGCCACTCTGCTCTACCACCTCATACTCAGGCTCTTCAGCAACGCTCACTCTTCTGGGCTTCAGAGAACATTCACACCTGGAAAAACACCCTCCTAAGACTTATCAGAATGAGGAACTACCGAGCCCCCACCCCCATTATGCTCCCGCTTTGCAGAGCCAATTGTTTGTCGCCGCAAGGAGGCTTGCGCACAAGTGAGCGATGCTTGGTCTGTACAGCCCCATGTGGGCACACACAGCTCCGTCATGTTTGTCCTGATTGCACAAGCCAAAATCCACACGCTATCACTTTGAACACATGCAACAGCACATGCGATTGGAAGAGAAGGGCACGCAGGGAGGGAAGAAGGTGGAAGGGGCTGCGATGTAGACAAGACGCTCGGCCGTTGCGACTTCTTTCACAGTGGGGTATGGTAAGATTCATCATGTGCGTGTGCATATGCGTACAGACACATTGTAGGTCCGCGCATGTGCATCATGTGCGACGAGGGCTTTTGCTACTACCACGGATTACCTGGACAGAGTGCGGGACGTGGGTGTGCACGCACGCAGTCCAAGCATCCTCACCCGCGCGCCGAATCCTCCAACGCCCGAGCCTCGTCCAAGTCTAATCCGCACTCCATCCTCTTCTCCAGATGCCCACCCCCATCCGCTACAGTACGCCCTCCCCCCCTTTCTACTTTCCTTCTTTCGCTGCTCCCTTTTTTTAACGCACGAATTCCCGCCTTTTCCTTTCTCCCCACAATCTCATTCCTCGTCCTGACCCAAGCTTCCTCTCCAACGCTCCTCAACAAATTCTTCTCCTCCTCCTCCTCCCCCCCCCCCTGCAAAGTCGAATCGCAACTCGTTGTCCAACGCTTCAGCGATCCATCCGCATCGAATTCGAAACGCTTCGAACCCAAGTCCAAATCCAAATCCAACTCCGAGTCCTTTTCGTTTGCGTCCGCGTCCGCATCCGCGTCCGCATGGCGGACTAGTGCGTCGCTGCATACTGCATCATCTCCCAACCTCTTCCCAAAAGCGAGACCAGCCATTGCCGCGTTTTGCGAAACGTGCGCATCTCCCTGCTTTCCGAGCGCACAATTGGCGCTCCTCACATAGCCCTCTGCTTCCTCCTTGAGCCGCTCGAGCAGCTTGTTCAAAGTCGACAGTCCCTCTCGAGGCGACGGACGAAAAGCGCGGTGTCGTGGCAAATGGTGGGATGGGGGAAGATGAGCAAGGGACAATCTCGACGTTGGAGTTGCAGTTGGAGTTGAAGAAGTAGAGGTCGAAGTTGCAGCATTCGCACTTTTGCGCGAATGCGTCTTGCTCGGACCAGCTCGCTTGTGCGCGCGATATGTATGTGGTGCAGTCCGAGCAGCTCGCTCAGCATCAGCAGACCGATCCTCGCTTTGCGATCCACTTTCATCCTCTACTCTCCTCGCAGTGTTGCTGAGGCCGTCTAGCATCGTCTCATAGATCAGAGGCGCTTCGCCCAATTGTGCTCTGACTATATTGCGCACGAAGTCAGCTCTTGAAAGTCCATGCGCGACTGGACGCTCAGACGAAGGTTGGTGCGTGTCGAAAAGCGAGGTGGAGACGGAGGCGCGCGTGGCCGGCGCAGCGCTTAGATGCTCAGCATCGCGAGTCTCGTTTGATCCATCGAGGTGCCTGTCCGTTCGCCCCGATTGGCGAGCATCAGAACGGTCCGACATGACCATGCCAAATTCTGCCCTGTGACGTTCTACCGATGCCTGATCGCCTATTCGATTGGAGGGCCATAGCCCATGCGTCTTTTTTCTCAGACTCGTTGGTGGAATCAGCTCAAAAGCGCTGATCGGCCCCACACTGCGTTCTTCGATAGGCTGCTGCACTGCCCGAACCCAAAAACTTTTCTCTTTCCCTTCTTGCTGGTGCGCATCCAACTCGGGTCCGCCCGTGACCGAGAAAGTCTGGTCATCATTGGACGCTCTTGCCGCACTTGTGCCTGCCTTTCTTCTCTTGCTACTTTGTGACCTCCCGGTCGTGCTTTTGCGCTTCCCCCTTTTACCAGATACCTGAGCAGTGCGATCGTCAACAACGCCAAGAAGCGTAGCAGCGCGAGGCTCGTTATCATCATCATCATCATCGCCTTCGTCTTGCACGCGCGCTGAAAGCTTGTCGAACGATCTACCGTTCCTGTACTCCTTCTTAAGGATGAATGCTTCGGATGAGAATATCTGCCGGTCTCCTCGCATCTTGATGCTTCGTCGAGGAAGCGCATGGCCGTGCAATGCCCAAAGAGCGAAAGCGGCATCATCCTTGGCGCTTTGCCAGCCATGTCCCGCTTCTGTGCCTCCGATGTGCTGTGGAATGTGCAGGAGTACGTTGTACAGGTCTGGTGCGAGGTGTGCAGAAGGGGACAAGACGACTCAGCCGTCAAGCTAGCAGAGAAGAGAAGCAGACTTCTGACATCGAGCACCAGACTCACCTACCGGCATGGGCACTCTCCATCCGCAATGAGGCGAGTGTTGATCCCCCATGGGAATCTCTTTGCTCTTTCCCTTGTTGTCAGTGTCATCCCGAACGTACCTCTCTGGTCTTTCTTGCAGAATAGGCACAGCTTCAGCCGTGGTCGAAACGAGAGTGTACACGGCAAAGAGGCAGGCCAAACCTTGCGCAACGTGATGCACATCGGGCATGTGCAGACTGAACGAGCCTAGAGGCGAAGGCGGGTAGGGACAGCATGGAGAAAGACATTCCAGGCGCTCTGTCATCGCAGGAGCAAGGCGAGGCATCAGCATACGCGATCGCGCCGCAGCAACACGTTGCCTCGTCCACTCACCGACAAAAGCGCGCGCTGTAGCTTCAAAGAACGATCTTCTAGATGCGATGTGCGCCTCGGGCCAAGCGGACTGGATAGCGTGCCAGCCTGCGCGGATCCATAGGCGATGAAAAAGCTGCATGGGCGACATGCCAACTTGCACATCCACCGGCACATGCACATCCCGAGCATCAAGGGACTGGCTGCGCTGCAGCATCAACAACTCGCGCGCAAACTCGTCCAGCAGATCTTGCACGTCCTGCCTGAGTCTATGCACGAACATGGTGGAGTTGGCATAGGCTGCGCATCGTATAGCTTGCGGAGCTCTGCCTGGCCGAGGTGCGCTGGGATGATGGCTGCCTTCTCGATGCTTGCTTGGCGCCGTCGTTAGTTTGGCGCTGTCCGCTCTCTCTCTAGCTCGAGCTGGAGCTGCTGCTGCTGGCGTTGGACTTGGCCCTGAAGCTGCAGCTGACGTGCCTGCAGAGTTCCCATGCTCAAGCTGTTGCGATTCCTGAGCGAACACTTGTTCGAGCGTTGCTTGGTCCATCTGCAGCATTTCGCCAAGCCGACTGATGCTACGGATCGAATGTATGCGCCACCTCTTGTTGCCAAGTCTTGTGTATGCGACTGAAAGTTGTGCTGATCTGCTTCTCTTGAGTCAGCGAGGATGGTGGGCCGCGTGCGAGTGTCCTCGATCGACACGCGCTCGCTCGCGCTCTCGTCTTGCTGCGCCAGCACGTTCAAAAGGCAGGTCTTGAATGGAAAAATCGAGAGCAGAGCAGAGCAAGGTCAGGGTCAGAGCGTCACATGACCTTCAAGGTGCTGTGCAGCAGGCGTAGTGCGTGTCGGGATGGTGTGCGGGGGGTGAAGAGCGCTCGCTGGCGAAGACTACGCTGTCAAACACTCGAAAGCGTATCTTGGTCGATTGATGTCGAGATGCGGGCGCCGAACAGTCCGAGTCACGTCACGTCACAGTGGCCGGCCAGCCAGCCAGCCATATTTGTGCATGCATGCAGTCCGCCGAGTATACGACTCACGACTCAAGACTCGATCCTGCAAGAAGCGAAGATGGAATCACGAATGGAATGAAATCACGAGTCTGAGTCGATGCGGTGGGTGAATGGCACATATGCGTGGGATGACGAGTGTGAATCTGAATGATGCGGTGCGAGTCAAAATGCAGCAACGCGTGACTGTGACTCAGACTGACTCATGACTGACTCACACTGACTCACGTGACTCAAACTCATGACTGCAATTAACCGTGAACTCGGACTCGAGACTCGTGACTCGTGACTCATGACTCATGACTGCGACTCGTGTTGACTCTTGACTGCGAATTCACAACAGATGGTGAATTTGCAATCACAATCACAATCACGAATTGAATTAAATGTGGATCTTGAATCGAATGAAAGGAATCTCTTTCCTGCGCTTCTCCGATCGGACGCGGAAAATCTTGAATCATGAATCACGATCCGAATCTTGAATGCTGAACTTGAATTCGAATGTGCATGCTGCTTGCTGCTCACGATTTGCGCTCGCTTGCTTGCTTCTTCTGTGCTGCGCTCGATTTGATTGCCGTGCGAATGAGAGGTTGCAGTGACTCGATCTGTACCTGTACCGGTACGCGTCCCACTCTCGCCCGCACGCAGCAGCAAGCAGCCACAACTTTTTTTTGGACAATTTTGGCATTTTACGCGTTTAGCCAGCGTTCCACTTCTTCTGGGCACGGCATGGCATGGCATGGCATGCAGCTAAGCAGTCACGACGTCGAGTCGTGAGTCGTGTATAGCACGTCTCATCACCAAACATCCTCATCCTCACCCTCACCCTCACCACTTTGCTCAGCTTTCCACACCGTTGTCGGCAAAGAGCAGAAGAGGTGTGCCAAGGATGCCATCCCCATCCCCATCCCCGTCGCCGTCGCCGTCGCCGTCGCCGTCGCACCTCGCCTTTCATCTGCAGGCTGCTTCTGCGCGCTTCCTTCAGTCCGCACAGCATGGCACATCATCCGCACTCGCACTCGCACCCACACCCACACCCACACCCACACCCACACCCGTCGCAGCTCCATCCACCTCCAACGCCGCGCTCTCATCGTCCTCTCACGACATTTCCCTCATCACGCAAGCATACATGGATCAAGCATCCTCTCCGCTTCACAGTCTACATGCTTGGGCGCAGATACGAGAGCGAGAGCAGGAGCAGGGGCAGGAGCAGGGGCAGGTGCAGGTGCAGGGGCAGGGGCAGCAGATGGACGTTCAGAGCGTGATGAGAGATCTGGCCGAATTGTTGTTGGAGCCGGCATACACGCTGCTGCTCGCCACCTCTTTTGAAGCGCTCTTGCCCGAAATCATCTCAACGTGCTTGGACGAGGCTCTGCAGTCGCACCCATCTTCCTCTTCAGACGCGCAACTCACCTCTCGCTCTGCCCACCCACACACTCTACGTTTGCGGTCCGCATTCGCGACCATCGCTGCATTGCTGCCTCCTTTTCCTCAATGCTTTCCGTAAGTCGATATCGCGCCAACGGCTTGCACAAGCGTAATCGTCGCTCACACTTCGAATGATCCTTTGCGCGATCATCATAGCGCTGCATTGCGCATGGTCTGCCATCCCGCCTTCTCGAATGGCCCGCTCGCGCACCTTTCCGCGTCCGCACCTGCACAAAGTCTGTCATCCATCGACGAAGCCAAGCTGCACGTAGACGCTGACGAGCTGCTCGAAGATGGATCCGCCCTTCAGACGATGCTGCTCAGCTGGTATCGTCTTCTTCACGCCGCACCTGCTCTTTCCTCTTACTCCCCAACATCGTGGCCCACCAGGCAATTGGAGCGCATCATCACCCACCCAAATCCGGATGCCTACTCCAAGACGACCAGGTTGATAGCCATTCAGGCTTTATCGGCTCAGCAAGGCATCGCAGAGTCTACGAGGGTGGAGATGGAAGGTCGGTACGTCGGTAGGCCCGCTGCTGGCAGACTACCACTGGAGGAGAAGCAGAAGGAAGAGAAGGAAGGAGCGGTGGATGCGTGGATCGAGGTGCGCTCTTTGAACTCGTCGGCAGTCAACGTGGAGCGTGTAGATGCTTGGAACTTGGCTCTGGAGGAGTTGATCAGGTGCGATCGGGTCCGGCATGCTCAGGAGCAGTCCAAGTCGCATGGCGGCAGCGAGGGCAGCATGCGCGTCGCGCGGGCGGATCTGGGAGCTCATACCACAATCATTGGTGGGACACTGGTGTTCAAGATTGTGCCACTGCAGGACTTCGCGCAAGGGCTTCCTGCCGCAGTAGAACCGCCCGCTCAACGATCCCGCTTCATCGAGACCGAAGCGCTGCAAAAGCCCTTGACTGATCTTGTTCGGCTGTTGGCGCTACGCCGGCCTATTCTTTTGTCCGGACCGCCAGCCTGCGGCAAGACGTCGCTACTGGAGCACTTGTGTGCGTGCATGCGCTCGTCGGAGAGCTCGACCTCCTCCAATCTCCCCATACTCTCGCTACATTTAGGCGATCAATCAGGACTCGATGCCAAGGCTCTTTTGGGCAGCTTCGTCTCATCCCCCACCCGACCAGGCACATTCGAATGGTCCGAAGGAGCTTTGACTCGGGCAGTCCGACTTGGACTCTGGGTCGTCTTGGAAGATATCGATCGAGCATCCGGCGAGATCCTTTCTCTGATCAAGCCGCTCGCGCAAGCGTTGGGATCTGCCAACACGCCGGGCGGTAGGCCACAAATAGATTTGGGATGTCGAGGCAAGGTACAAGCGGGACACGGATTTGCGCTGTTCGCTACGCGAAACGTGCATGCTTCTCGAGCGAACGCTTCGACGCTCGATGATGCCAATGCCTTGCCGCCGTCCGCGGTCTTTATGGGACATTGGCACTGGAACAACGTGGACATGCTCTCGCCCAGCCTAGACGACGTGCAAGAGATTTTGCGCCGCATGTTCCCTCGACTGGCGGAGGCGCAAGATGGAGCGCTAAGTCGCATGGTGAGCGTTTGGAGCTCTGCTGCTGCGCTCTCCTCGCGTCTGGCCAAGAGGTCTGGTGGCGCTAGTACGAACGGTACGAGATCCGGCTCGAGGAGAAATGTGTCGGTGAGGGATCTGGTCAAGTGGGCTGGGCGAGTGGAGGCCATGTTGAGCTCGGCTGGAAGAGCGGCTTTAAATCCTTTTGCGAATCAGGCGATGCAAGATGAGATCTTTGCGGAGGCTTGCGATGTCTTTTTGGGCGCTTTGGCCCCTCCGTGAGTAGGGGTGTGGTGCGGACGCTGCTGCTTCGTGAGGTTTCTGACAAGACTTGGCAACACTCGTTTTGACGGCATCTTTGATCCGCCTTGTGACTCACCAGAGCGTCTGCTCTGTTGACAGCACCTGCTGGCGCCAACGCCGTGCGCAAGCTGTCTGCCAGCAACGAAGCATATGCGGAACTTCTCGAGAGCTTGGCGACGGGTCTTGGTCTCTCTACCGAAAGTGCATGCTTCGCGATTCAAGGCCGTACTCCCGAGCTCGTGCTGCGCTCTTCGCAGAGCGGCGCACATCGACCTGGAGAGGCCCAGCAAGGCACGCACGTTCGCATAGGCCGAGTCGAGTTGAGTCGCGCACCTCGTGGGACCTATCAGACAGCAGCAGCGCCTCCAGCGAACAGCTTCGCAATGACTCGACCGGCCTTGCTTCTCCTGGAGCGACTGGCTGCTTGTGTGTCTCACGCAGAACCGGTCTTGATGGTCGGGGAGACGGGAACGGGCAAAACGACCATTGTTCAGCACCTCGCTTCCATGCTTGGAAGACCGCTGACGGCGCTCAATCTCAGTCAACAGACCGAAAGCAGCGATCTGCTAGGCGCTTTCAAACCGCTCGATGCCAAGTTGCCGGCAACCGAACTTCACAACGCGTGGCTGGAGCTGTTCGAAAAGACCTTTTCGGCAAGAAGAAATGCGCGCTTTGTGGATGCGGAGAGGAAAGCTTTTGCGCAAGCCAGGTGGTCAAGATTGGCTGCTCTGTGGAACGAGTCTGCTAAGATGGCGGCTACGAGACGTCGTAAGGAGGAGCAGCAAGGATCGAGCGGAGAGGCGCCGAGCAGAAGCTCGCCGGGAGCTACGTCTCGCAAGAAGAGGCGAACGGACGATGGGCCTTTTACCAGAGATGAAGCGCTGGACATGGCCTGGCAAGAATTTGCGGAAAAAGCCCGACAATTCGAGATCCATCATGCCACAAAGAAGCGCAATTTCGTCTTTAGCTTCGTCGAGGGTCCGCTAGTCCGCGCGCTGCGCACAGGTGCTTGGGTGCTGCTAGACGAGGTCAATTTGGCCGCTCCGGAGACGATCGATTGTCTTTCGGCCCTCTTGCAATCGAGCTCCAGCAGCCTCGTGCTGACGGAGAGAGGTGATCTGGAGCCGGTGCCTCGTCATCCGGACTTTAGAATCTTTGCCTGCATGAATCCAGCCACGGATGTAGGCAAGCGAGATTTGCCAGGTAGTCTGCGTAGCAGGTTCACGGAGCTGTACGTGCCTAGTCCGGCGGCAGATCGAGAAGCGCTCACTTCCATTGTGGACAAGTATGTGGGACACTTGGCGCATGGAGATCGATCGGCCATCATGGATGTTGCGGAGACGTACTGGGAACTACGCACGCTCGCGGATGATCACGAGCTTGCGGACGGGGCGAATCAGAGGCCGCACTACTCTATACGCACCTTGTCGCGTGCCCTGACCTTTGCGGCAGACGTGTCGGCCACGTACGGACTGCGACGAGCGCTCTGGGAAGGTTTCATCATGGCTTTCGTGTTGCTGCTGGATGAGAAGAGCGCCAAGATTGCCCGCGACATCTTGCAACGACGCGTCCTCTCGCGCGCCAAGAACGCAAATGCTGCGGCTAGCTTTGTGCCAGCTGCACCCGACTCGAACACGTGCGTGCAGGTGGGATCTTTTTGGTTGGAAAGAGGACCTTTGGAATTGGATGCTGCGGAGGATTATGTCCTCACGCCTTCTGTGCAGGAGAAACTCGTGGGACTTGCGAGAGCAGTCGTTACGCGACGCAACCCCGTGCTGATCCAAGGACCTACATCTGCGGGAAAGACGAGCGCGGTAGAGTACCTCGCTAGAAGGACGGGACATCGTTTTGTGCGCATCAACAATCACGAGCACACGGATATCCAAGAGTACATTGGCTCGTACGCTTCGGATGCCGATTCCGCAAGGCTCGTCTTCCACGAAGGCTTGCTGGTTCGCGCTCTGCGGAACGGGGACTGGATCGTCCTGGACGAGCTCAACTTGGCGCCCACCGATGTTCTGGAAGCTCTGAACAGACTGCTAGACGATAATAGGGAGCTCGTCATACCCGAGACTGGCGAAGTCGTGCGACCTCATCCTCACTTTATGCTCTTTGCGACGCAGAACCCTCCAGGTCTGTACGCAGGTCGCAAAGTCCTGAGCCGCGCTTTCCGAAACCGGTTTTTGGAGATCCACTTTGATGATGTGCCGCAGGCGGAGCTTGAAGTCATCTTGACGCACCGATGCTCCATCGCTCCTTCCTACGCCAACAAGATTGTCGCGGTATTCGTGGAGCTGCAAAAACGTAGACAGGCGGGAAGAGTGTTCGACACCAAACAGGCTTTCGTCACCCTTCGAGATCTTTTCAGATGGGGACAAAGAGAGGCGGTGGGGTATCAAGAGTTGGCGCATAATGGCTACATGCTCATTGCGGAAAGAGCTAGGAGAGCAGACGATAAGGTCACCGTTCGACAGGTCATCGAGCAGGTCATGCGCGTCAAGATCGACGAAAAGGCGCTCTATGACTTGAGGGGTCAAGCGTCCGCTCGACTGAGCGGCGGAATCGCTCAGCGTTTGAAATTGGAAGCTTTGCGAGCTGGAATCGTCTGGACCGAAGCGATGCAGAGGATGCTGTGCCTCGTAGCTGCTGCTCTGCAGTATGACGAGCCCGTGCTGCTCGTGGGAGAGACGGGTGCGGGCAAGACGAGCGTGTGCGAAGTGCTCGCTGCTGCGATGGGAAGAGAGCTTCATCAAGTCAATTGCCACCAGAATACGGATGCGGCCGACTTGCTCGGAGGTCAACGACCTTTGAGGAATCGAGCGGCTCGACAGGCTCATGCGAGAGCAGTCGCTCTCGAAGCGCTTGCTTTGGTGCACGATCCTCTTGCTGATGCAAGCAGCGAGGCGGATCTGGAAGATCTCGCTGCTGCACTAGCAAAGAATGCTTCCGCAAGTACCGAGCCTGTCCTGACGACCGCATTGCAAGCTGTCCATCGCGCTATGGCTCTGTTCGAATGGCAAGATGGTCCGCTGGTGCAAGCGATGCGCCACGGCAATCATTTGCTGCTCGACGAAATCTCCTTGGCAGACGATAGCGTGCTAGAGCGACTCAACTCTGTGCTCGAGCCCGGTAGAACGCTCGTACTGGCTGAACGCACGGGCGCTTCGCTGGACAAGACGGCCGAGGGCGCGCTCGACTCGGCTCATCTGCGCGCTGCGTCGGGCTTTCAGGTCGTCGCCACCATGAACCCGGGAGGCGATTACGGCAAGAAGGAACTCAGCCCTGCGCTGAGGAACCGCTTTACGGAGATATGGGTGCCGCACGTGGAGGATCGGACGGACTTGATGCGCATTTTGGATGCGAAGTGGAACGGCCCCGAGTTGCAGCGGTGGGGCGCCCCCATGCTGGACTTTACGCACTGGTTCATCGCAGAAGTGGGAGGACGGGATCAGGCAAACTTGGGCGTGAGGGATTTGCTCGCTTGGACGACTTTCATCAATCAGACGGCCAAGGTGGTGCTTGAAGAGCAAAAGGCTTTTGTTCACGGCGCTATGATGGTCATCGTGGATGGCGTGGGATCGCTTCCCGCTACCGCTGCGATGACCCCTGCTGGAGTGCGCGCGCTGCGCACTCGATGCGTGGCGCAGCTTCATGATGTGGTGCGCTCCGTCGGCAATTCGACGATGCATATGGGGGAGAAAGACCTGCTGACGGTGCGTCGGACATCTACGCACTTTTCTATCGGTCCATTTTCTGTACGCAGAAAGGACGCATTGTCGGACATGGAAGCGTCTGAAGCGAACGACTTTAGCTTCGAGGCGAGGACGACGGCGAGCAATGCGATGCGCGTCCTTCGAGCGCTCTGCGTGCCTCGGAAAGCCATCCTGCTCGAAGGCAGTCCTGGAGCGGGCAAGACGAGCTTGATTGCGGCTCTGGCGAGAGCTAGTGGGAATGCGCTCACGAGAATCAACTTGTCGGATCAGACGGAGCTGACGGACTTGTTTGGTGGAGACCTTCCGCTCGAGGGCGGAGCTGCTGGACAATTCGAGTGGAGGGATGCTGCGTTTTTGAGAGCTATGCAGGCGGGCGATTGGTGAGTCCAGCTCCGCGCGCGTCTGTGTTTCTGCTGTCCGAGTGTGCGGCCGGACGCTGACCTTTGTAGGCGCGTGTCGTCGGCTGGGCAGGGTGCTGCTCGACGAGATGAACTTGGCATCTCAGACCGTGCTGGAAGGACTCAATTCTTGTCTTGATCACAGAGGCACGGTCTACGTCCCGGAACTAGGGCGCACTTTCACAAAGCACGAAGACTTTAGACTTTTTGCGGCGCAAAATCCTCATCATCAAGGCGGTGGTCGCAAAGGCTTGCCAAAGTCCTTTTTGAACCGCTTCACAAAGGTTCACGTGGATGAGCTTGAAGCTGGAGATATCCTCACCATTTGCGCTCACCTCTATCCCGCTTTCGATCAGCGGGATTTGAGCCGCATGATCGAGTTCAATGCTCGTCTGTACGATGCTGCCATGGTCACCCGGAGCATGGGCAGGGCGGGAGCGCCTTGGGAGTTCAATTTGCGGGACCTCTTGCGCTGGCTTTCGCTTTTGCACTCCGATCTAGGACTCAATTGGCGCCGTAGCCCTGTGCAGCACTTGTCCACTCTCTTCTTGCAGCGTTTCAGGAACAAACGCGATCAAAGGGCTGCAGCTGCTATCTATCAACAGATCTGGGGAGAAGAGATCGACGTCGATCATCGTCCACAACCTACGGTCACGCCCAAGTTCCTGCAAGTGGGTCACGCGGTGTTGCCTCGCTTGCCACGCCACGCAGAGGATCATGCAAAGCTGGCGTTTCCCAAACACATTTTACCGGCTATGGAAACGCTCATCGATTGTGTTCACCTCGGCTGGCTCGCTATTCTTACAGGACCCAGCGGCGCAGGAAAGACTTCTGCTGTAAAATTGCTTGCTCAGCTTGCGGGAGCTCGTTTGGAGGAGCTGTGCATGAGTTCGGGCATAGATGCTATGGATGTGCTGGGCACTTTTGAGCAGGCGGACCCTTTGTTGGACATTCGTGGAGACTTGACGAGACTGGACCATGCTCTGCAAGCCCTCGAAAGCTCGCAACTTGCTGCTTTACCTGACCACGACCAGCTCGATGCCGCGCGCCAACGCGTTGCTCAGCTCCTGTCGAGTGGGGGCGCGATGACAGACGATCAACAGACGCAGCTCATCGCTTACATAGAGCCGCTGGCTCTCGTCGACGAAACATTCGCAGTACGGGAGGCGCTAGAGGGCGTCGCAAAAGCGGCCAAAGCTGCAGCTAGTCAGGCTGGACGCTTCGAGTGGCACGATGGCCCCCTGGTGCGAGCCATGAAGCGCGGCGACTGGCTCCTGATCGACGACGCAAACTTGTGCTCCGCATCGGTTTTGGATCGTCTCAATTCTCTTTTCGAGGAAGGTGGCTCTCTCATACTCAGCGAGCGCGGCGTCATCGATGGAGAGATTCAGGTCGTCAGAGCACATCCCTCATTCAGAGTCTTTATGGCCTTGGACCCTCAGCATGGCGAGCTTAGTCGAGCGATGAGGAATCGAGGCATCGAAGTGTACGTCCCTGCTCCAGACGCTTCTACGCCCGACAACCTAGCGAAGCACCTCTCGACCTTGCTGCCCCGAAGCTCTGCCAGTGCTTTGGCATTGGCACGCTTCCGGATCGATGAGCGCTCGAACGAGCTGCAACGCGAAGCGGCCTGCGTCCACATCGTCCAAGCTTTACCTGCGCACTTGTTGACCCTGGCCCTGCGAGCCTCTTCATCGACGGCCACGGAACTGGACGCGGCGGTCGTCGAGTATTTCCGAACCCACGCGATTCAAAATCATGCCTTGGCCAGGAGCACAGCTTTTGCCCAAACAACCGCTCTGGACTTGGCAGTGCTAAGCTCTTTTGGACCTGACCTCCGTACGAATGCCGCCACCGCTAGCGGCACTGCTGATCAAGACATGTTCGGGCAAGCTATCGCACTGCTCGTCCAGACGACCGTGGAGCTCTCAAAGCTCAAGTCCACTGCGCAGGCATCCTTGTCAAAGAGCGATGATGCGTTGACGGCCCTCGAATGGTCCGCCCTTCGTTTTGGTGGGCGCTCGTTTGAGCGCAAAGCAGAACCGCCGGTGATCTTTGCGCTTGCTGTTTCGGTGTCGCAAGTAGCCCAGCAAATTGTTCCGACAAGCGACGCATCGTCGTGTCATTCTGTCGCACAGCTGGTCGACATTGCATCGTATCTAGGTAGTCTTTCAGCCCAATCGCCCAACTTCGACTACTCTTCGGCACGCGTCCTTATCAAGCTGATGTTTCAGGCTGCTGCACAGCTGGCGCAAAACGACGCCCATGCGCAACAGGCGTCTCAGATCGTCGGCGTATTGCAACAGCTTGACTCCAATGTGACATTGATCACGGGCCTGGCGATGAGGGAGATTTGGGCAATGTGTCTGGGTCATGGCCAAGATGATGTCGAGGCGGCGTCGGCCGCGGCAAACATCATTCGCCTGCTCCATCTTGTGCCCCGTCAAGCGCTTCAACCCGGTGAGTAGCTCGCCGGTACGCAGACGCGCGCACTCTCTTCAAAGCTGACATGACGTTGTCCTCACAGACCTAGCGCGTACCTCGATCGATGTAGCCGCGACGCTCACATCCCCCGACAAGGCCTGGCAGGCCAATCAGCGCGCCGAGCTGTTGGACATCGCAAGCAGACTGTCTGCGCAGCTCCAGGCTGCATCGGTCGTGGGCCCCACGCACCTCGAACAAAATGTGCAGCCACACGAGCACGTAGCGCGAGCACTTGTGGCTTGCGAGACGGGACTGAAGCATTGCGCTCGAGCAGCTGGCCTCGACGACTTTGCTCATCGGCGCACGTGCCTCGACGCGTTCATGAGAGCTGCGTGTAACGACAGCTCTTATGACCTGACGTCTCTTGTCTCGCTCAAGAGAGACGCATGGAAGGCGCGCGTTGCCGGGGGCTTGCACCCTGCGAGTTCTCCGGCGCAAAGCTCGGGTGATCTGGCTTGGACCGCAAAATTGTGGGATCTGGACGCAGCGTTTAGCCCGGCAGATCTCTTGGGCCCACTGAGGCTCCAAATCGCCGTCAAGATCGGGTGCGTGTTTCTCACCGAGCGACTGGTACTCCTCATCAACTGCTGACATTGTCCTCCTGTTCGTTGTGTCACTTCATAGCTCTCCAAAGTCCGTCTCTTTGGCGGAACTTGCTGCTCATAAGCGTGAAGCAGCACGCGTAGCTGAACTCTTCAACTTGGAGTTGTCTCTCCGCGCACCCCCTCGTGCTGCTCGGCTTTATGCTGCGCTACAGCGCCTTGTGCGAGAGGTGGGTCTTTGGATGTGCCGTGATCTCTCTTCCACATTTGCTGACCGCTTATACCTTTGCCTCCAGCTTACTAATGCACTCATCCCACTCCTGGCTAGCGAGGCATCCGTGCAGCTACGAGACTTTGCGCACCGCTTCGTGCGCGACGAAGCCATAACGCTCGACGATTTTGAGGCGCTTGTCGCGCATTTGGACAGCACGGATCCCGCTGCACGTTTGCCGGTACTGAACATCTGGCTTGAGATGGTTGAGTATCTTTTGCGCGTAGGCTCCACGGATCACGCCGATGGCTTGATGCGCTTGGGTCTTGCTTGGATGAACGCGTCTCGCGGTATGCTCACTCTGTTCCACCCCAACGTGGCTGTCGATCCTCTGGTCACAGAGCGCACCCAAGGAGGACTGTCCGCCTGGCAAGGTGTGCGTCTCCAAGCGCAGATCGATGTCGCCACGCGGGCAGAAGCTCTGCTCACTGGCAATTCTAGCAGTCCGCTGACGCGCTCGCTGATGGCAAAGCATGCGGCATTGATGCTCGAGCAGCCTGGGGCGGCCGATCGGGCTCTCGTTCGAGAGCCTGATCTCTCAAAGCTCACCTCTTTGCATCGGGAGGTCAGCACCTTTGTGCAGACTGTGTATCAAAGAGGTTTGCTCGCGCAGCTAGCAACAGAACAGCATCTCGACAGTCTCCCAACAGACTTTGAAGCCAGGGAACAAGATTTGCAGGTCACTCTGGGCGCTTTCCGACAGCGTCTGTCTGCAGTCCACCGCTCTTCGATGGAAGACCTCATAGCACCGATTCTCGTTGTCCTAGACGGCACGCGCTTGGGTCTGCGGGTGTTGGCGCAAGCCGTCAAAGTCCAAGGCCAGACCGAAAGTAGCAAGAGGCATTCCGAACTTTTGAGCGCCCTGACCAGCTTTCCCACGATACGGGCCACTCAGCTCTATTCCAAGCTTCAGCTGCCCGTGCGGCTCAAGGAGCAGGGAAAAGCGAGCGCACTCTCTGCTTCGCTGCTGCTCACAGCGGTCGCTTGCATCAGCGAAGACGTCTCGAAAGGCGTGAGCCTCCAATCTATCTTGCAACGCCTTGTTGTGGTCTATGATCAGATCTACCAACTCTGGGTACTCGATCGGGACAGAGAGCGCCGCGCTCAAGAGCAAGAAGCGAGTTTGTACAAGTCGCGCAACTTGGACAATTTGATTCAAGACGAAGCTGCTGCGGAGGAGGCCGAGTTTCTCGAGCTCTTTCCCGAGTTTGAAGACGTCATGGAAACTGGATACGATACCAGAACACCACAGCCACCTTCGGCAAATGTGTCCATGACAAGCTTGAGCAAAGACCACATCAGCAGCCTCTATCATCTTCACTCGGCCATCTTTGGGACTTCTTCTCCTCAGGTCAGCGTGCGAGCATCGGCGCTGCTGCAGTCGCTACGCAAAGATGTCCTGCAACGTGCGCTCCTGGCGTCACGTGAGACCCTGCCCGAGGCGCTCGACCAAATTAGCGCGCCGTTGTCAGTTCATATGGTCACCCAAAGTGCTCTCACGCCCAATTCTTCGACTTCGCCGGCCCCCGACTTTTACACGGCGGCAAACCCGCCTCAGACGACCAAAGCAGTTGCGATTGTCGAGCGACTCCGAGAAAAGCTCACTGCCTTGATCACTGAATGGCCCGAGCAGATGGTACTGCAGCACATCCGAGAACGTTGTGAAGCTATACTGCGCCTCGACAGCGGCTTGCCAGTCGCTAGGATCCTTGCAGCTCTGGAACAACTACTGGTCCACACCGAAGATTGGGAAGGATATGCGAGCTCAGCAACTAGCCTCAAAACCTCTCGGGATGAGATCATTGGGCAGATTATTGAGTGGCGTCGCCTCGAGCTGGAATGCTGGTCGAGCCTTTTGGATACGCAAGCTGAGCGATTTGCAGCGCCTACCGCGGACTTCTGGTTTCAGCTCTTCGAGGTCGCGGTAAGGGGTATGCAGGCAGCTACCATGGAAGGCACCGGACAAGCGCAAGACCATCTCCAAAAGCTGATTGCTTTGCTGGACCAGTACGTCCGATCGAGCACTTTCGGGACGTTTGGGCCTCGTTTAGAGCTGCTACACTCATTCTCGACCTTCCTGGATGCTCTGGTCGGCGGTAGCTTGCCCCAGGAAGAATGGCTCGGTCTCGACAAGGTCGCGACAGTACTCCAGAACGTCAATAACTTCTACGGGCAGCTCAAGCCCAAGGTCGAAGAGACACTGCACAGGCAGCGCGATGCAATCGAGAAGGAAATTCGAGATTTTGTAAAGCTTGCCTCGTGGAAGGATGTCAACATTCATGCGCTGAAGCAGAGTGCTCAAAAAACGCACAGAAAGCTGCACCGCTGCATTCGCAAGTTCCGAGACGTTCTGCGTCAGCCCGTGGATCCTCTCCTTGCCACTGCCGCTCAGAGCTCCGCTTCAGTTGCTGCCGATGAGAAGGGTCTCATACCCGCGAGCGGCGGCTCTTTGTTGCCATTGGGCCAAGCGGAAGTCGAGAAGATTTTGACGCGATCTAGCCTTCCAGCGCGAGCGCCAGACACTCCAACCCACCTTGTGGACCTGTCCCGAACAGCGAGCAAGCTCGCTGCATTCTCTGCAAATCAGCTAGCCGATGCGCTAGAGTCAGGCCTTCCTATGGCAATGGATGAGCTTTGCGGAACGATTATCAGCCGTTCCGCTGAGCTCGCAAAGTTGACACCTGCAGTAGCCACCGAACAGAACGCCAAGATCATTCGTGCTCTCACTACACGCAAGAGAAAGGCTCTTTCAGACCTCATGCGTGAGCTGCGCAGAGTCGGCTTGCGCTCTGCAGTCCGTCCAGAGCTTGTGGCTCGTCACAAAGATGTCACCTATCTGTACGTGCAGAAAGGCGTGACGGAATCGGAGACTCCACACGTTCAGCGAGCCCTTGCAGGAGCGGATCGCTACCATTACCGTCTTCTTGCTGCTTTACCTCACCTTCGAAAGTCTGTCAGCTCTCGTACGGACGATGTTCCCGTGGCAGACCTGCTGAAAGGTATCAACTTTGTTGAGCATGCTTCGAGCCTGACTTTCGCCAGCCGAGCGGAGCTAGCCAACTTGACGAGACAGGCAAATGCCGCGCGCGGCATCTCGACTCGGCTCCAATACTTGGCCACATCAGACGGACCAGCAATGGCCTGCAAGCCAGGCATCGTGCCGGCCTTGGCCGCGCTTGTTGATTTCCTCGCTCGAGCGGTAGAAGGATTAGGAGAGGCCACATCAAATGCGCCCACGTACTTGCACTTTTCCCCGCTCGAAGACAGCCGTATTGCCTTGTCTGCCCTGTGGGATAGCATCAAAGGCGAAGCTTCGCGCTTGTCAGCCACGCGGACCAGCCTCCTCTCTCTGATTGCCACCCTCAGAATATCTTCTTGCCTCTTTTTGCTGCAGCACGAGGCAAAGTTGCTGGACGCTGGGGCAGAAGCGCTGGATGCCATTGTGCGAGAGCTCGAAGTCATTGGGCGCCGCCATCCAGACCTCTCTGCCATAACACAGCCGCTCGGTGAATGGATATCGCAAGAAGCCGATGACGTCTTTGCTGCCTGCCGGAGCGCTCTGCAAGGAGCAGCAGACCCAGCCATCAAAGGACCCGCCAGTGACCGGCTCGTTTCCTCTGTGCTCGTCATTGCACAAGAGCTTCACAAGATCGGTCAGGAGCAGAGTTCAGATGTCGTCGACGATGAGATGGCGGATCAAGCGCTAGCGCGGCGTATGGAGCATACTGCACGAATCAGCCAAACGCTGCGATTCGAACAGGTTCAAGATTCTCTCATGGAGCTCTTTGCAAGCGCAGTCTTCGAGCCTGCATCTAACATGAATGGCTCTCTTGCACGCGTGACGCCCTTCGTGGCCGAGTACGCTGGGCTCATTGAGCGCCACTTGGCCACATCCGCTGCATATTATCGCACTTTGGTCAAGTTTACGCTTGTTTTGTGCAACACGTTTACATCGCTCAGCCTCAAAGGCTTTTGCAAGCCAGGACAAGCTGATGACAATCAAGCGGAGGCAGACGGAGAAGGCGGAGAACAAGTCGAAGGCGGGACGGGTCTAGGTGACGGCTCCGGCGCCAAAGACGTCACGGACCAGATGCAGGACGACGAAGAGATGGAGGAGCTGCAAGCTGAAAAAGCAGAAGAGGAGGATGGCGAAAAGGGGGAGAGACAGCGCGAAAAGAACGCTAGAGAGATGGAGGAAGACTTTGGAGGAGAGCTGGAGAGTGTCGCAGATGAAGGAGAAGACGAGGAGGGTCAAGATGATCAAGATGAGGCAGACGACGAGGACCTTGATGAACAGCGTGGCGGTGTCGATCCGCTGGATCCGAATACTGTTGATGAGAAAATGTGGGGAGAAGAGAATGGGAACGAGGGCGAAGATGCCGAGCACAACCAGGATCAGACCGACAAAGATCTCAACGGGCCACAGCAAGGTCCTGAAGAATCCGTCGCCAGGGATCGTTCCAAGCAGAAGCAGGACTCGACCTTGGACAACCAGCCAGAGTCTTCAAAGGACGAAGACGGCGCCGGCAACGAGCAAGATGCCGCAGAAGACGTTTCCGATCTTGACGAAGACCAAAAGGACGACGGCGAATCTGTGAATGCGGAAGCAGATGCGCCTGAAATGGAGCAAGGCATGGGAAGACAGCTCGACGATCAAACTGCTGAAGCTGACAATCTGGACTTTCAAGACGAGCTGGAGCTCGACGAGCGGGCAGATGATGGTAGCGAGCTGAGCTTTGATGAAGATGAAGATCCACAGCAACCGCCCGACGAGTCAAACGTAAATGATGCAGCTACGGAATTGGAGCCTGACCGAACGCAAGATCCAGCCGACGCGGATCACCCTGAGTCTACAGACACAGGGCAAGATGCTGTGGACATCGCTGGCGATATTGAGGATGGCGGCGAAGCGAACTCTTCTGAAGAGGATGAGGACGCTGACGATGCGGAAATTGCGGAGAATCTAGGCGCAGAGCGAGCGGAGCCCGAAAATCAGCATTCTCAGCCTCAAGATGCGTCACTGCAATCTGCAATGGATGAAGATGCTCCCGCCGATGGCGGTGATGCGGACGAGGGTGCTTCCGCAGAGCAACAGAACGCATCACGGTCTAGATCGGGTCGCCAAGCACAAGATGGCGAAGAGGCAGAGCCGCAAGAAGGGGATGTCACCCGCAACCAAGACGGTGAAGCAGATACTACTCGCTCGGAAGCAAAGCCAGATGACGCTCAAGAGAATGTAAAGCAGTCTCGGCGCGAAACTCAAGACGCTGAGGAGGGCGCTAAAGAGCAAGTCGATGAGACGAATGGTGGAGGCGAGTCGGGGAAGCCTGAACGGAGTCTTGGGGATGCTTTGCAAGACTTCAGGCGCGACATTCAAGCTATCGAGGAGGCGATGGCGGCCGATGAGCGAGCCACGGATCAGGCCAGACCAGACGGAGAAGGAATGCCCGAGACTGGCGAGGTGGAGCACATCGGACCCGACGAGGAGACTGATCTTCAAGCTTTGGGGGCCGCTGGCGAAGATGACGAAGTCCAACGTCTGCCCGATACGGGCATCGCAGACGAGGAACAGGGCGTGACAGATACGTCTGCACAACAATGGGAAGACTTAGTCAAGCCGGCTGAACGTGACTTGGCCCCTCAACCGCTTGGCGAGGCACCGATGGAGATCGATACGGAAGAAGCAGGTCCATCTCAACAAAAGCAGGCCAAAGCTCTGGACGCGTCGCAGTCGCGGTCCAACGGACACCTGGAGCCTGGCGCTGAAGCGACGGATGAGCTCGAAGATGGCGCTCTTGCTGCGGCAAATGATCGCGGAGATGACGAGTCAAATCGCGCGAGCCCCATGCCCGAAGATGAGCGTCGCCAAGCAGACGCCGACATTGAAGCAGATCTGCTCGCTCTTCGAAGCGCGAGCGATGATCACGACAAATTGGAAAGAGCTGGCGAACTTTGGCGCGCTTACATCGCATTGACGTCGGATCTCGCCTTTGGCTTGTGCGAGCAACTTCGTCTGATCCTGGCACCCACTCTAGCCACTCGACTCAATGGGGATTTCCGCACCGGGAAACGTCTCAACATGCGCAAGATTGTGCCCTTCATCGCCTCCGACTTTGCCAAGGACAAAATTTGGCTTCGCCGCACGAAGCCGAGCGCCCGAGAGTATCAAGTTCTGCTAGCAGTCGATGACAGTCGCAGCATGTCGGAGAATCGCTCAGCGCACCTCGCATACCAGACTCTAGCGCTTGTTAGCAGCGCGCTTGGACGTCTTGAAGTTGGAGACGTGAGCATTTGTCGATTCGGTCAGCAAGTGGAGACTTTGCATCCTTTCGGTAAAGATAAGCTCTCAGACTCTGGCGGTGCTCAGCTCGTCGAACGCTTGTCCTTCGAGCAGCGTAGCACCGACGTGCTGAAACTGGTCGAGCACAGTTTGCGCATGCTTCAAGAAGCTCGGGACAGTCGTACATCGACGTCTGCAAGCGACTTGTGGCAGCTCGAAATCATCATCTCGGACGGAATCTGTCAGGTAAGTGTTGAGGAGAGCTACATGCCGGCAGACTGGCTTCGCGCAAAGCTTACCGCCGTTTCGTACATCGCACAGGATCACGAGAGACTTCGTGCTCTGCTACGCAGAGCCAGCGAACAGAGAGTGATGTTAGTCTTCGTCATCCTTGACGCGCGGCCCAAAGCTCCAACCCGCAACCTTTCAGGCCCTGCTCAAACAAACGGTGACAACAAGCAGCCCAACACGAGCACGAGCATAGTGGACATGTCCTCCGTCTCTTACTCCACCAATCCTGAGAGCGGCAAGATGGAGCTGGTGATGAAGAGGTATCTAGACACGTTCCCATTCGAATACTTTGTCGTTGTGAGAGACTTGGAAGCTTTGCCGGACGTGCTCGCTGCTACCCTTCGACAGTGGGCCGAGCGCATTTCCGGAGAAGCTTGACGCGCGCGCACCTCGGCATGAGTGTACCCATCACATGTAGCATAGCACAAGAGCGAAACCGATAGATGCATGTTTCTACGATAGATCAAGCAATGGAATTCAGATGTCGAATCAAAGGCTTGCTGAATTATGATTTCGCTGAATGTAAAGTGTCTATGGGAGAAATTTTGACTGTGCTATTTCGCTTCTTCACTTCTTTGACTGACTGACTACCCAAGCGTCATTGATGGCCGCAAAGACGGCCGTACCAATCATGCGTTGCTCGACGGTAGTGTTGCGCGGTGTAAGCTGAGCCAGAGACGCAGAGTGAGGGCAATCGTTGAGGTGGAGTCAGTCAGCGTTCGCAGAGCACGTGTGCACCAAAAGCCTTTGATGCCATTTCTGCACAGTCTTCCCCGAATTCGCGTCTGCTCACCTTGTCAGGGTGCAATTTGATCATGGCCTTCGTATAAGCCTTTTTTACCTGCGCATCCGTGACGAGCTCGTGCATGCCCAACTTTTTCCATTCCAGTTCCTTCCAAAGCACCAGCTCCACGCTGGCCAACAATGCTCTGACATTATTCTCCTTGCCCATCTTCCAACTCGAAATTTTGCCATCCACCGAATCCTTGGCCAAGTCTTTGGCGCTCTCTTCGGCCGCTGCTTTGGAGGCGCGTTCGGCCGAGGCCAGCGCTGCTCGTTGAGCTGCCAAATTGACAGCTTCCGTTTGTGCTCTGCGCGCAGAAGGCGTGGGACCGGGCCTCGCGGGAGCAGACGCTTTGCTCTTTGCTGCACCACTCGCACTTGCCGACGAAGCACCAGCAGCAGCAATAGCGGCACCAGATCCGCGCAACATCTCCTCGCACCTCTTCTTGCCCTGTTCAGCACTCCTAACATTCCCAGCTCCCCCCTTTCCGCTGCCCTCCAGCCTCTCGTACAACCCAAGCTTTTCCCAATCCTTTAGCGCCTCTCTCCACTTCTCCATCGTTTCGTAAGCTTGAGCTCTTCGAAGCACGGCTTTGGCATAAGCTTCCCTCAGGTTGATCTGTCCCGCCAATGGATCAGGTAAAGCTTCTTCCATCGAAGGTCTATAAATCTCTCCCTCTTGCTCCTGCTCCTGCTCCTGCCCCACCAGCGATTTCTCCAAAACGATCCGCACAACCATCGACGCATCCTCCACGCATCCCATCGCATCCCCATTCCTGCTCCTGACCAACGCCCTATTGTTCCTCAATCCCACGCTCCTCAAACTAGCCGCCGGTCCAAGCTCCCGCAAAGCCTTGCTATACATCTCCTCCGCCTCTGCATAATTTCCCCTTCTATACGCCTCATTACCCCGCACCCTGCACGCTTCCGAAACCTGCGACACGCCGCTCTGCTCCTCCTCCTCTTGCACTGCTCTGCGCTTTTTTCGCAGCGTGCCGCCAGACGCAACGCCAGCGCCGACGGCAGGAGCGGAATGCGTCTTGCTCGTCGAGGGTCGTACAGCTCGACGAGCTGGAGAGATATAAGGTGCGCGCGGTTGGCCTGCTGCGCTAGGCGGTCGTGCAGCGGACAACAGTTGTTGTTGTTGTTGTTGAGGCGCCTGTTGCGCAGGTAAATCCCAAAGGTCCACATCGCCCGCAACTTCCGGCGTGGTAGTCGTCGTCGGCCTCTGTGGTGCGGCTTGTCGCGTCGATTTCTTGGTGGGCACGTTGGACGCGTCATCAGCTCCGTCGTGCTCCTCCTCCCCATCCGAATCCTTGAAAGAGCTTGTCGGTGCATCCTTCGACGCAGCAACGTCCGGCGTGATGGGCGACGTAGCTCCTTGCTCTTCAGCCCTCTGCATAGCCTCGGCTTCCACCATCCATCTAGGCTTTCCGCTCAGATCCATCTGTGCTTCCTTTCTACCTCCCCAACGTCGATTCCAGGCTTTTTCGCTAAACTTGCTCGTCTCTTCTCTTTCAAATCGTCTACCCGCACCCGCACCCGCACCCGCACCCGCACCCGCACCCGCATCCGCGCTCGTACTGGCTCGTCTATCGAGCGCCGCCGAACCGGATCCGGGCATGGGGGAAGCCGTATTGCTCCTAGCTTTCTGTTCCTCATAAGCCTTCTGAGCAGCCTCTTTAGCGCTCGTCCAAAAGCTATTTGCGCTCTTTAAAAATCCAGCCCCCAACTCGCTAGCCTGCGCATAGATAGCTTCCGTCTGCTTGTTCCAATCCTTGCTCTCTTCTTCTTCCTGCTGCCGCTGCACCGCAGCTCCTCCTCCTGCTGCTGCTGCTCGAACGCGTCGATGCGCACTCAAATTTGCTCCTGCAGCTGCAGTGTGCCTCGACCGCACGCTCGCATCCCCGCTTGCGCCCCACTTGGCTCGTTGCAAAGCAGCTCGTCGCGCCTCTCCATCGAAAGCCGCATCATCGTTCCATTCCTCGTGTGTATGTCTCGCAAGAGCAGCACTTCCATCGCGAGTACCAGCAGCAGCAGCACTACCACCACCAGCCAATAGGCTTTCCATCGCAATCTGCACATCCAAGCCCGTCTGCGTGCTCTTCAAAGCTCTACGAGCGTCTGCCGGTGAGAAGCCCATCTCTACGATCTGTCCTACCAGGTGAGGTGGCGGTGAGACGGCGCGTGCAGTTGCGCTGTCCTTTTCGTGCTCGTGCCCTCGTGCTCGTGCTCGTGCTCCAACCCCATCGCCGTTGCGCTTCGCTCCCCAACTCTTCGCATCGCCACGTCGCATGCGCTCATGCTTTGCGCTCAAAAAGTCTTCCAGCGCATCCGCATCCGCATCCGCATCCGCATCCGCATCCGCATCCGCACCAGCTCCATCGCCATCCATCCAAAACGTCCCCTTGCTCTTGCTCTTGCCGCTATCCTCCTCATCCTGCCCACTTTGCAGCTCGACGCCACCCGCGCCCGCGCCCGCGTCCCCGCCCCCGTCCCCGCCGCCCAACGCGCTGCTCTGCGCCCCCGATCCATCTTCAAACTCTGAAAAATCAAACATGTCCATCGCAGCCAATGCTCTCGTCGTCTCCGTCGTCGTCGTCGGAGCAGCTGCTGCTTCTCTTCTCTTGCTGCCCTCCTCGACTTGCTGTCGTTGCAAAGTGGTGGGACGTGTGGAAGATGGAGCAGCGGGTGGATTGGCGTCGAGAGTGGAGGATGCGGATGCGGATGGGCGTGCGCGTGCGCGTGCGCGTGCTGGTGCTGGTGCTGGTGGAGGACGGGAAGACGGAGTGGACGCTTGGCTTGGATTGCGCACGCTTGGAGCGGGAGCAAGGGCGGAAAAGTCGAGGCCGAAAGGATCGTCGGATGATTTGTTGCTGGAGTGGAATGAGGAGAAGAGGAGGCGGGCAAAAGAAGGCGGAATGGATGCGTTTGGTGTCAGCTTGCGTGATGTATGGCACGGAGTACCAGAAGAAAAGAGAGGGGGAAGAGGGGGGGGGAAGAGGGACGCAGCGTCTCCCAATCCCATCCATCGACTCCCAGACGGCATTTGAGCTTTCTGCGCCAAGAAAGACGCTTCCCTCAAAACACTTGCACCACCCAGCCCCCCCAACTCGCACGCCGCCGCCCACATTGGCAAGGCAAGGCAACAAAAGAGAGACGCACCTTTGTCTCATCGAGCCCGCCTGGCGCGTACCGCCGCTCGCACTTCCAAACAATTCCCAATCCTCTTCATTCCCCCATCCATCAGCAGCACCAGCAGCGCCAGCGCCAGCGCCGCTCTCCCTCTCTCGTTGTTGCTGCTGCTGTCGAATCATACTCAGAGGCGCATTTGCATTTCTTCCTGCACCACCACCGCCGCCGCTGCTGCTGCTGCTGCTCCACCTTTGGCCTTGTGCGAGCGCGGGTGCAGCATGCGAGTTTGAGCTGGAGGTGAGGCTGGACGTGGGGAATAGACTCGAGAATGCATCGTGAGTGTGCGTTTGCGTGCGCGTAGAGGTCGAGGACGAGGTCGAGGTCGAGCCGTTGTTGTTGGTGTTGGTGTTGAGAGAGGTTGGGTGACTGGATACCTTTGCTCCTGCCACTGCTCCTGCTCGCGACTGCGACTGCGGCGGAGGCGTGTGAACAGGTAGGGATCTGGTAAGAGCGTCGAAATTGTAGTTGGATGGTGCGCTAGCAGTAGCAGTAGCGGAAGCCGTAGCAGAGCGCGATTGGGATTTGGAAGGCGAAGGCGATGAGGAGGAGGAGGTCCAGTCCAGATTGACTAGATCTTCCATGGCTGTGCGTGTGCGCGTGCGTAAGAGTGTGATTTGGGGAGGGAGAATGATTGTGAGTCACGGTCGAGTGTGAGTGTGAGTGGGAGTGTGAGTGTGAGTGCGAGGCGTGAGTGAGAGGTGTGAGGGTGAGACGTGAGGCGTGAGCGAGAGTCGTGCGTGCGTGCGTGCGTGCGTGCGTGCACCCGCGACGAGCCAGCAACGAAAGCGCCAAAACAGCAAGCAGGGCATCCATCATCAATCAGGCAGCCATGCATGCATGCATCCCTCCCGCGCGAAAGAAGCCCAAGCGCGGGCAAGCACCACGCAGCATTGCACGTGACTGTTTCATGAGCGTGTGCGTGTGCGTGTGCGTGTGCGCGCTTGCATGCAACTCTTGACTCTTGACTTCGACGACTTCTCGCTCGCTCTGGACGAATCAGCCACTTTTGATTCGCACTCTTGACGCTTCTCCCTACTCTTAGCTGGCAGCCTGCCGACCTCTTGGTCGAATCTAGTGTCGTCTAGCGAAGCGCGCAGACGCCCATCTCCTCCGCACTTTCTCAAACTTCTTGCCATCTACAGCGTCGTCTCCCCCCCACACCCCCATCCTCCACTACCATTGCAATCCCGCTAGCTGCACCCGCCAATCCGCTTTCATCCATTCTGGCCCCGATCAAACATGTCCCTCTCAGCACTTCACCTCTCCCTTCTTCCAGCCAGCGGAACCTCGCATCTCCTCGCTCTACACTTGACACATCGAGATGGCTGCGCGCGGCTCAGAGGAGAGAGGTTGAGACATTTGATACTGGTCAGGGATGATTGCGTTAGGATCTTTGAGGTCAGGAAGAGATGGGATGCGCAAGTGAGTTCCCTCGCTGAGCTGGCACTCTTGGATGGCGGCGGGAAGGGGGGGGGAAAGGCGGAGGGCGATTTCATGCTGCAGCGCTCGCACAGGCTGCCTTCCGTCTTAAAACAAAGCGCATACATGCGCCATCAACATTCGCCGAACACTGAATAGTATCCTCTCTCCCCCTCTCTCTTGCCCTCTCTCTTTTGCCCTCGGCGACGCCTCTGCTCCCACAGATCAAGCTGCATCATCTTCGTACGCACCAGCTCTTTGGAAATGTGATGGGTTTGGGCGCCGTGGACGCCTCTGCTTGGAAAGGCTCGAGCAGGCAAGTCGCAGAGGCGTCTGGCACGCAGAGCACTCAAGCAGTGCTTTTCTCGTTTGGCGATGCCAAGGTGAGCCAGACGGCGCGATCAAAGGCAGGCAGGAGAGGCTTGAAGGGCGTTTTGCAGGTGTCGCACATCGTGTCGGTGTTGACGATCCGTGCAACGTGACTGTGACCCCCTTTCGCAGATGGCTCTGATGGAGTGGGACGACGAAGCGATGGATCTTGTCACCGTCTCCATTCACACCTATCAGAGAGCACCTCAGATGGTGAGTGCTGTCCCTGCGCATCGCTGGAGCGCGCGCGTGCATGCTAAGGTGCATCTTTTCCCTTTCCCCACTTTTCACCACTCCCCGCAGATCAATGGGTCTCCTCCGCACTTTCAAAACTTTTTGCGCACCGATCCGATTTCGAGGTGTGCGGTCATGCTGCTGCCTCAATCTTCCATCGCCGTGCTGCCCTTCTATCAAGATAGCGTCGATCTGGGAGACGAGATGGATTTGGAGCTGCTGGATGGCGAAGGGGACGCTCTGCGCGAAGGACACGAGCCTGGAGCCGCTGGGGAGGCTCTGCCCTACGCTCCTTCCTTCGTGCTGGACCTAGCAAAATTGCTTCAGGTGGCTGGCGTGAGGGATCTTGCTTTTTGCGAGGGATTTCAGAGACCCACGCTAGCCGTGCTCAGCAGTGTAGCAGGCACCTGCACCGGGTAGGTTTTTTTTTCTGAGCCGAGGGGAACGACAGCTGGGCGGTGTGGATCAGATCATCCGGCTGACTTGGGATCATCGTTTCGCTTTGCCTCGCCGCTGCACCTCAAGCCGATTGAACGAGAAGCGCGATACGTGCGTCTTGCACCTCCTCACCCTGGATCTGAGCATCACTTCGACCCATCCCATCCTCACCACTTGTCCCAACCTCCCGCACGACGTGCTCTACATGAGACCCTGCCCTGCCAACCTTGGGGGAGGCGTGCTGCTCGTATCTCCCTGCGCGTTGATGCACGTAGATCAAGCGGGCAACGTCGTAGGTCTAGCAACCAGCGACTGGTTCGCCCTCACGTCCGATCGGAAATTGCCTAGCCTTTCTCTTCCAAGCACCTCCGCCTCGACCTCTTTGAACCAGACGCAGAGGCACAATGCGCAGATCAATCTGGCCAATTCGGAAATCGTGTTTCCGAACGACAAAGCACAAAGCGGATCGGCGGCGGCTAGTATGGTCTTGCTGTTCAGCGCCTCTTCCGAAGCGTATCAGATCCGCTTCAACTTTGATGGGAGGACATTGGAAAGCCTCTCGATGGAGCTGGTGCACATGTCTAGCAGTCTTGCTGAGGCGCCCGCGGGAGGGCACGACGGCGAGAAGTTGACCCCGCCCGCTTGCGCGGCCATGATCGATGAGGAACTTGCGATTGTGGGAAGCATGATCGGTCCGAGTCGATTGGTGATGGTGAAGAATGTGCAGAAGAAGGTGGAGGAGGCGGAGCATGATCAAGAGGAGGACGACGCAAAGAGTGATTTGCAGGGGCGTGTCGAAATGGAAATGGACCTGGACGATGGTGAGTTTGCCATCCAGCAGGCCGCGCACGGTTTGCTCGCTGCGCTCATCACTTTACCCCTGTATATCGTACCACTGCAGACTTGTACGGCGACTCTGCGCGTGCAGTCTCCTCCGCCGCCGGTCCTTCGACGAACGGCAGCACAAAGAGGGCGATGACGAGTTTGGAATTGAAGCCCTTGCCGGCGAACATACCCGCCTTGGGACCTGTGCACGACTTGAAGATGTGCGCTTTTGATGAGCTCGACGTCAAAGGCGAGGATGCGTCTTTGGGAAAGGACGAAAAGGTGTTGAAGACGCTCGCTACCGTGGGTGCTGCGCCCAATGCTGGCGTGGCCATTCTAGAAGTGAGTCTCCCCTTTGGTACTTTGCGCGCGCGCCCGAGCTTACGAACTTCTCCCACACAAATCCCCACGCGCGCGACGTTCCCCACCAAAAAAAAAAAAAAGCCAAGGATTTCGCCACGCAAAAAGCGCAGGTTGGCCTTTGATGCGCCTAGCGGTCTTTGGACTTTGCCCATCTCGATGAACTCATTCGACGCGCATGAGAGAGCGTACGACGCTTGTTTGGCTTCCAACGACGATAGAACCACCTTGTTCAAGGTGCATGCGGATGGCAGGACGGAGCTGATCGAGCGCGTGAAGGGGAGGACCCTGGCCGCTGGACCTTTGCCTGATCGGCCCGACCAGCAACCACGATCCAAGCAGGCGCAGGCTGCTCGATTTGTCCGTATAACGGAAAGGCAGGTGGAAGTGATGGATCTGACCGGTCGAGTTTTGCAATCGGTTCTAGCGGTGGAGGAGAAGGGGGGATCATCTTCGTCGGCTGCGGCGGTGGCGGATGAAGAGCATGAAGAGCTGCAAGTGCATCAAGCTAGCTTGTGTGGCGCTTGGGCAGCCTTGGTGAGGACGGATGGACAGTTGAGAGTATATCGAGTGGATGGACACGCGCCGCAAAGGGTGCAACTAGCGCAGGGTTCTGCGCTTGGGGCCAACAAGTACACGTGCGTTTCGTTGTTGCGGGATGAGAGGGCGCAATTAACGCTCGAGCCGCTGCGGATGCAAGAGGAGCCAAAGCTTGTACAGGAGACCGGCTCGGCGACGGCGGTGCAGAGCCCTACGACACGGCGCAAAACGCTTCGCAACGAGGAGGAAGAGGATGAAGAGATCGACTATGGGGAGGAGGAGGAGGAGGAGGAGGAGGAGGAGGAGGAGGAGGAAGGGGGCGACGTGCGGACGACCACTACGCCGGCACGGGTGGTTGAGAAAAGCGCACGGTCAGACGATCAGACGTCCTCGTCGAAAGCTGCGACTATTTGGCTTTCGCTTGTTGATAACGACGGCCGCGTGCATGTGAGTATCCTTTGCTTCTGTCTCTGTCGGGGTCCAGACCCGCTTCAAACGGAGTCCAATAGCGAATGGTCTGGTGACCATCGTCCTTTCATCCTTGCCCCGTGCAGATCTGCGTACTTCCCTCTTTAGAAATCGTCTGGTCCTCCAACTCTATCCTCGCGTTGCCACAACGATTGTCCCACACGCTCGATGATGCCTCCTCGACCGAAGATGAGGGTCTATACGTCATCCAGGCGCTGCTGTGTCACATCGGCGATGCGTTGCATCTGGCGGTACGTAGGGAGTCATATCAAGGTCCAAAGAAGTTTGGCTGAGCTGAAATTCCACCTCGACGCATCCCTTCAGGCATCCTTCAACAACGGTCTCATCGTCGTCTATGAGGCAAACACGAGCGGTGCAGCGCAATCCCGGTTGCAAGTGATCTTCAACAAGATTTTTGCGCGTCAAATCACCTCGACGGAAGTAGCTGGTCCGGCGGTCGATGGCGAAGTGGCCACTTTGGCAGCTTCGCTCACCCCACTCGACCGCTTTGCGGCATTTGAAGACGCATCGGTATTTGTGGGAGGTGAAGAGTCTGGATGGATCGCCAAGTGCGAGACCGGGCCTTTGGTCTTTTTCCCGACGCATGAGGGCGGATTGCATAGTTGTGCTGCCTTGAGAGCACAGCGCGGCATCTCGACCTTCACTTTGTCTCCTCAGCGTTTCTTGTTCACTCAATTCGACATGGTGAGTTGCGGTGTGCCAGTGCACGCCCCCCACTCCTTCATCAGCCCACACTGATCGTCGACTTGTGTTCCTGCTGCGCCCGCACAGGTGTGCTCGGCAGAGATGCCCGACTTGCGGTACGACCTCGAAATACCTTACAAGCTTCTTCCATCTGATCGAACCTACACAAGATTGGCCCCCCATGAGCCCACTGGAACGTTCGTCGTAGCTTCCGAATCGCCGCAGCCCTTTGTCCTTTTCGATCCGGAGGACCAGAGCGTGGTGCAGGATCCTAGCAGTGCGTTGTTCACCTTCGTTCGGATCAGCACTTGCGCATCTTTTGACACCCCTCATTCGCTCCGATGTCGTCTTCCTGCAGTCGACCCTACGCCAGCTTACATTGCGCGCGGATCTTTGGAGCTCTTCGTGCCGGGCATCGAAGAGCCAATCGATGGGTGAGTGTGGTGCAAGGCGATCCCAGAGCGAGCAGAGACCCCCTCCCCCCCTCGGCGCTCTTCGCTTGCTGAACGCGCCACCACTGTCTCGTATCGCACTCCCAGATTCGAATTCGGACAGTGCGAAGTGGTTTGTGCTGTGGAGCTCGTCACGCTCAAATCTATAGGCACGCTTTCGGGAACCAAAGATTACTTGGCTGTGGGCACGATGATTTCTCACGGAGAGGACCGACCGGCAAGAGGCAATGTGAGTATCTTGTTCGAATGCTTTCGCAATCCCAGATGCTACTTTGCTCAGACTCGAGACTCCTTCAAACGGGGCCTGCTGCACGACGTCCAGACATACATTTTCGACGTGGTCGAGGTGGTGCCAGATCCGGCAGACCCGCTGGCCAAGTACCGCTTGAGAATGTTGTACAAGGAGGACGCCAAAGCGCCCATCACGTGCATCACCGACATGAACGGTTATCTCGTCGTGGCCATGGGCCAAAAGGTGCGCAACAGAAATTTGCTTTTTGGACCCAGCGCAATGTCCGTTTCTGGGTGGGTATGCTGATCGAACGTGCTCCTCGAAACCGCTCCCACAATGCTCTGCAGCTCTTTGTACGCTCATTGGAGAACGACGAGTGGCTCGTGTCCATCGCATTCTTGGATATTCCTTTCCAAACGACGACGCTACGAAGGCTCAACAACTTCATCCTGCTAAGCGACGTGCACAACAGCGTTTGGTTCATTGCTTTTCAGGTTCGTAAAGTTCCTTTCGATGCGTCTCGCAAAGTCGTCTCGTCGCTCATCGGATCCGAGTCCAACGTGATGTTCACGAACCGTTTGCAGGAATCGCCATACCGATTGACCGTGCTCGGCAAAGACTTTCACACCTTTTCAACGACGTGCTCCGACTTTCTTCTCGATGGACCGGAAATGTCCATCGTTGCCGCGTCGACGGACAAGGTGCTCAGGCTCTACGACTACGCGCCTACAGGTGAATGCGATGTGATTTTGCGCCGATAGCATTGCCGTCATCCATTTGACCTTTTGCTCATTCACCACCATCCACAGCTATAGCGAGCCAAGGTGGACTCAAGCTGCTTTTGCGCACAGAGTACCAAATCAATTCGGAAGTGGACTGCATCCTCATGATCCCGGGCGCCGCTCCCGAACATGGAGGCTTCTCGCTTCAGTCCGAACTCATCCTGGGTGAGTCGAGCGCGCGCGCCCCCCCCCCCCCCCCCCCCCCCCCCCCCCCCCCCCCCCCCCCCCCCCCCCCCCCCCCCCCCCCCCCCCCCATCTTCCTCGACCTTCGACACAGGCCGTCTCATCCACTCCGCCCTTCTTCCAAACGCGCAGGTCTTATGAACGGCGGTGTGCACAGTCTTGTGCCTGTGGAAGAGCACGTGTACCATCGCTTGCAGCTCTTGCAAAGTCAAATGGTACGAAACGTGCAGCATTTTGCCGGTCTGAATCCGCGCGGACATCGGTGAGCGTGGCCGAGAGAGAGAATGCGGGCAGCCAGCAAGCGCGACAACAGCAATACGCTGACGCTCTCGAGCGTCCCCCGACCGCGACCGCCCCCCGCCCACTGGCCTCTTTTCTTCAGGTCCGTCCGCAACGATCACACTTCGCGACCCCTTGCAAAGGGCATACTGGACGGTCTGCTCTTGTCCACCTTTGAAAAGCTGTCTCGGCCCAAGATGGAGGAGTTGGTTGGCCTGCTGCAAGGTGCGATGGGCAGAGATGGACCGGATCAGGCATTGAGGGATCTTGCTGCGCTCAGAAATCACTGGGGCTCCGCCTAAGCACTAGCACGCTCCTGCACAGAAATGAACATGATGTCGTTGCGGACGCTTCTGCGCATGCATTACTCTTCTGCGCATGCACTACTCTGGCGAACGGCGCAAGGGGGGGGGGGGGGGGGGGGGGGGGGGGGGGGGGGCATGGCGATGTGCTTACCGTGGAAAGTGGTTCGTCTCGAAGCCTGGTCTGACTGCCAAGAGTACGCCGATGGGCCACGGCAGATTGTTGTCCAAGCCGAAGCGCTCTTTGCCGAGCACTGTCAAGTTGAAGAGTGCGCGCGTAACGTCTTGTAGATGCTCCCGCAACGTGGACAAGTGCGAACCCCCTTCTTCGGCTCGATCGTCGCGCGATGCCGCGACGAGATGCAGCCACAAGACGTGTGGCGGGCCATGGACGTGGAGAGAGTCTCTACAGTCTGAGCGAGAACGCGCATAGGAAGCTGCCTCGCGCGATCGCACGGGTGCCAAAGAGCAAGAGGGAAGGGATTCGCGCGGAACGTGCACGATGAGGGAGCTTGCGAGGCTCAGAGGCCAGCAGCTGGGTGCGTCTAGCTCGTCGAAGAGCGACGCATCGCATTCTTCGCCCTCCTCCTCCACGGCTGCCTCTTCGTCTTCGTACGCAACGGGAACCGGCTCAGCCAGAGATATACTGAAGGCTGATGAAGAGGCATCGAGCAGCACTTGAGATGGCAAATCGCTCCGCGTAGGCACAGCTTGAGGGTGCGATAGAAATGCGAGCGCTCCTCCGCCAACGACGTCAATATTCGCAAATTTCCCAATCATCAGCGAGGAAAAGGTATCGGCGCAGACGACGGTCAAGTCTAGCGCTGGATGAGCCAAAATTTCTTCGTGCCAGACTGTGAGGGGGGGGGGGGGGGGGGGGGCACAAGTTCCGCAGCGTCAGCCTATGGAAATCTCCAGTGAAGAAGAAGGAAGAGGACGGCGCTCACCTGCTGACTCGGTCGCCGTCATGGGGCCAGATTTGCAAATGACCAGTCGAAATTGGGCGCTTGCGCGTCGTGTGAAAGCCAAAGCAGCTTTGAGCACGCCTGCAATATCAGCGCGCACACCCGAGCTCCTGAAGCCCGTGATATCGCTGTCCATGCCTCGTTCGTCGATCATCGAGACGAGAACGCTGGCTCCCTTTGCACCTTGAACTTCGTTCGAGTAGTCGCGAAATGTGTGGCCAGAGACGTCGTAGCCCACGTAGAGCACCATTCCTCTCTCCAAGGGGTTCGTTGCTGCCGTTGGAGCCTCGAGGGAGAATTTTGTCCTTCTTGCAGAGTCCTCACCGATCGAAGGAGCGCACAGGGTAAAAGAAGGAAGCTGCACAAGAGGCGCATCCTCGATTGCTTCAAGACCTCGTGGACCCAAGTGTGATGGAGGACAAGGACGAGCAGGATCTGCAGCTAGTCTCACCTCGTCGTATATGGCCAGCACGAAGCGTCTGAGATCGGCCGCAAGCATGCCATTCAGCGGCCAGCTCGTCGTCGCAGCAGGGCTCATGATCGACCAAGGCAAAGGTCGGATGGTGATGTGTGCTCCGATCACGCCCAACGTCTTTCGAGCGAGAGAACGCAATTCTTCTTGGAGTCGGATCAGGATGGTCCAAGGGACCGGCCAGCCAGGTTGGCCAACAAGGTAAACGACAGCGTACCGACCGCGCACCAGAGCGCTCTTGACGGTGGTGAAGAGCGAGAGGAGCGTATCGCTCCATGTCTCTTTAGCGAGAAAAGGCCGAACGCAATGCAAGTCAGCGCTATCATCCGTCAGCTCGCTGCTTGCTTGGCGCGCATCATCTCACCTTCGTCTTGCGCGACAGCGTGAATGGCGTACGCGAGACCGACCTGGGAAGTACCAAAAGCGATGGCATGTTCCGAATCCGCCTCATGCGTTCCCAAGCCCATGCGCTTGCGTGTTCGAAGAGGTGTCGCATCAGCACAAGCCCCCCATGCAGCGGCATACGCGCAACCGCGCCACTCACTTCAAACGTCGAGCCGACCTGCTTCAGCCATCTGCCAAGGTCATCTACCCTGCTCTGTTCCACGCCTCCAGGGTACAAGACGAACGCAGCGACGTGTTTTGGTCCACCAGCAGGGCTCAAGTTCAACTTCTGCCAGAAGCGCAGAGCAGTGGGGAGCGCCTTGACGATGACTCCCTGACATCCCACCGATATGCGCGGCGGCTCCAAATTCGTAACGTCGTTTGGGTGCAAGCCGTCTCTTGCACACATCGAGTCCACGGTGGACGCGGAGCCCAGCAGGTCCATCATGCCCGTAAAGGCATCTCGCAGTTCGGCTGGAGAAGCGTTGCGCGTCGTTTGCGCATCGGTCCTCAGATGGATCACGTGCCGCATCTGCGGATTGTAAGCTAGCCATTTGGCCAGCTCAAAGAGAAGACGCTCCCTCTCCGCTTCGCTGTCCGCAGGTCGTGGCAACGTCTCGTCGTCTGAAGTGTCAGAGGATGAAGAGTCTGGCGGCGGAGTTGGTGGGGCGAGAAAATTGGACATGAAAGGCGCTTCGCTTGAAGCATTGGCAGCTCTGGAGCAGGCATCATTCGCAGCGGAAGCGTCGTTCAGCTCGTCTGTGCAGTTGGCCAACAGCACATTTCGCTCCGGCGCCAAGCCTAGCACTTTTTTGCTATTGACGAAACACTGCTCCATCATTTCATCGTCTTCTTCTTGCAGCCTCAGCGTCGCATCATCCTCATCAGCGCTCTCGCTTTCCATCGAGTCCACCTCGCTCACATCCGTCGTGTCGAGCTCGCTGAACGCATCTTCGATATCCACGGAAACGTTGGAAGCGCGCGAATTACCCAGCCTCGCTTTGTGCAATGCAGACAGTGTAAGAGGATGTCGCACAGTCGGGCCATCTTCGGTGCCCGCGGGTGGTCTCCACTCCTTGACGTTCTTGAGCCACACAGCTCTGCTGCCCGAGGGATCTCTTCGTCGTCTAGAGCCGACCGGCCCTTCCATTACCGAAGCAGAGGCAATCTCCTCATCCGCGCTGCCACTCCGTGCATGCTTCCTGCTGACGGGCAGAGCAAACTTGCCAGCATCGTACTTGGATCCCAAATCTCTCAGCCCGCGTGCCGGTCGTGCCAGGCCTTTTGCAGCGGCAGCAGCAGCCGAGTCCGCTAGGGAGAGGATTCGAGTCGTCGAGTCCGCCATCGGCGAGTACGGCACGCTCTGCTGAGATATCCATACTTGCTCTTCCAAACGTTCCTCGTGCGCACCAGCACCCGCAAGCGCTGCGCCGTCCCGCGCACCGGCAAATCCTTCAGTCTCACCGACGACCTGCACATGGTCCGTCATTTCCTGTCCGGGCGAAAATGGCGTTCTGGGCGTCTTGCCGATCAAGCTGGGCATGGTGGGAGAGCTAGCGCTGAAGAAGCTGCTAGGTGTAAAGCCAGGGAGAGAAGGCGGATCAGGAACGACGCCTGTAGTGCTGCTGCTGCTGCTGCTCATCTGCGCAAGATTCGAACTTTCTCGCGTCTGCGCATCTGGCACGGTCGCTGGCCGCTGCTCTACTGGACGCGTCTCGGTGGCGAGATCATTCGTCATGCTTGCATCGACGACGTCCACGCCTTCTCCAGCGACATTGCCATCGTTGAAGAAATCAAAGTCGTCTTCCGTGATCAATCCGTACGCCATATCCGCCTCCTCTTCTTTGTTCTTGCCGGAAGCTGAGAGTGGCATTTCAGCCGAGGCATTGCCAGTCGACAAGTCGGCGAATTGAAAGGAAGGTGGGGAAGGGGCAGCATGGGCCGGCACTGTGGAGACGTTTGCATCTTTCGGATGGCCAGATCGCTCCGCGTCGAGGGCGGCCACATGCGTGGCCGTTTCTTTCCCTTGCAAATTCGATCCATGCTCGTCCTCACCCCACAGATCGTCCGCGTCTTGCGCTTTGTCGGACTCTGATGAGCTCGACGCGTCCTGCGATTGCTCTGCTCCCGTACTCATCGCTCCCACATGCTCATCCCCCGAGGGCGTCATCGTCGCTTCTGCGCGAGCCGTTCGTCTAGGCACACCCTGTCCCTCTTTCGGCGTGTTCGTGCTCTCCAAGCTCCCCGCCGGCGTTCTTTCCTGCTCCACATTTGCGTTTGCACTCGCCTGCACCTGCGCCAGGGCTCGTTCTCTGAGCGCACATTGCGCAAGTTTGACTACGTCCCGCAGGGGTCTGAAGGGTAGATTGAGTCCTTCGTACAGATTGTGCTTGCGAGTGCGTAAAGGTGCAGCGCAACCTCTTTCCCATCCTCGACTTGGCAGGAGCACCAGTCGTGCGGGATAGATGAAGCGTTGCTGCTGGGATGCTTCGTTCGCTGTGGAAACGTCGTGCGCGATCGTCCCATCGCACACGACCCACGCGTGCAAATCTTCCGCCCTCATACAGACTCCCGAGTCTCTCAAAGCGCGTCTCATGCCCTCTCTCACGCTCTCTTTGATTCCTTCAGCTCCCCTCACCTGCACAAACTTTGCCTTTGTTCCCAGCGGCAGCAATCTGACCTCATCTCCACTTTTGAGCTCCTGTACGGGCGCGGAGCACAGATCGGTAGCCGTCGGCTGAACGTTCAACACGAAGGCGTCTGGGGTCAAGGCGATGCGAAGCCGAAGACAGACCAGCGCTCTTGGTTGGTGGGGCGCTCCGAGAGAATGTCGATCGGGCGCGTTGGGGAGGAGCAAGATGGAGCTGGCAAATGGCGTAGCGGTGTGCGTCCTCCTTGTGCCCAAGCCATTGCTCCAACGCGGGTCGCTTTGCGCAGCAGCAGCAGCATCCATTTTGACCTCGTTCGACGACTCTTCCGCCTCCTCTTCTCCCTCTTCGCGCTCCACCTCTTCTTTAGCAGCACCGCGCGCACTCTCATTCAGCTTCGTCTCCTCCTCCTCCTCCTCCTGCTCCACACTGCTGGCTCGCTCCATCCCTTGTACCAATCCTTGGAAACTCTGCAGGGCGCACCACTGAAACACTGCTCTCTTCTGCAGCGCCCGGAGGAGCAAAGACACCTGCAGGCGCAATTCAGGCTTGATGGACCGCGCACGCGCACGCGCACGCGCACGCGCACACATCGCGCCTTCTGTAGCTGTTTGCACCTGCGCGACGGGGTCGTAAACGTCGGACAGCTGAAAAGTGCCTCGACGGATGATGTGCAAGTCGTCGAGAACGGAGGTGGTGCTGCGCGCAGTCGTATCCGTCGAATGCTGCGCAGCATCATCCGTTTTTAACAATTCAAAGGTCCAAAGCGCAGAGCATACGAGCGTGCTCGACTTTGACTGTTCTTGTGATCGTCGCTGATCCCTCTCATCCTCGAGCGTATGCGCTGCTGCGCTCGAATCAGCATCCGCAGAAGCAGACTGCTGTCCTCGCCGCCGCTGCTGCTGCTGCGTCGACCTCCTCTTCCACTGCAGCTCAGCCACTGTGCCACTGATCAGCTCGCTCAGCAACTGCTCCCTCGATGCTTCGCGCTCGACGGTCGGATCGAATGCGGCGTTGCAGGCTGCTACGAGGCTGCTGTAAGCTCGGATGAGCTTCTCGGCTTGTGCTGTAGCCGCGTCCGAGTGAGCAGTGCCAGTGCCAGTGCCGGTGCCGGTGCCGGTGCCGGTGCGTAGCGGGACGGAGGACGTCTCGGTCTCGCGCGTGTTCGTCTCTTGCGATCCAGTCAATGTCGATGACGATGTCTCGCGTGGCTCATCCCCTTTCGACATTCTCGCATCTCCATCAGCCTCGACGCTGGCACCCGCACCCGCACCCGCACCCGCACCCGCACTGGCACTGGCACTGGCACTGGCACTGGCACTGGCACTGGCACTGGCACTGCTGGGCAGCTTGTCATCCCGCACCACGTACCGACTCCACCTGACGCGCAGTCCGTACGGCAGAGGTAGCTGCGCGAACCCCATCATCGCATCTCGCGGCAGATTGCCGAGCAGTGCGGATGCGGATGCGGATGCGGATGCGGATGCGCTGCTGCTGCCCGAAGCGGAGCCATACGACGATCGACTTGTCTGCTGAGCGCCCGACTGCGAGTGGGAGTGGGAGTGGGAGTGCGAGTGCGAGTGCGAAGGTCCGTGCGGGAGGGAAGCAGTAGCAGTAGCGGCAGCGGCAGCGTATGCTTGCGCGGGCTGATATGGATGCGATGCAGCGCCATCGTTGCTTCTCGTCCAAGCCTGCTTAGCACCAGCGCCAGAGCCAGAGCCAGAGCCAGCGCCAGCACCAGAGCCAGCACCAGCACCCTCCCACGAGCCCATTCTCATCTCGTACTCTGTCGATCTATGCTGATGTTGAGGCGTCGAATGCTGCTGCTGTTGTATGGTGTGCGGCCGAGCGAGCGAGTGTCGACTCGGACCCGCTGTTGCGTTGGTATCGAGTGTCGACTTGGAGCTTTGCCAAGCTTGAGCAGTCGATGATCCGGCGACGTTGCCCGTGCCCGTGCCCGTGCCCGTACCGCTGCCTGATGCTGCTGCTGGACGAGCAGGCAGGCCGTGAGGTCTCATCGTGAAGCAAGCGTGAGCGTGAGCTGCCCGTGCTGATCTGGTCTGGTCTGCAGCGCAGCGCACCGCACCGCACCGCACCGCACCGCAGCAGTCGTTGATCGAAACACCGCACGGGTGCGTGTGGAGAGACAAAACAGGAGGGAAAGGAAGCTGAAAGCGCAAAGCAAAAATGTGGAAAAAGGTGTTGGGGTTGCGCTGCACTCGACTCGTGACTTGCAATTCGAGGCTTTTGAAGGCGACACACACACACCCGCCACGGCGCACCCCACTCACACTCACAACAGCATCCACATTCGCGACTCACGATGAATGATGCAGGTCCTGACGTGCATGAAGCCTGTGGCTGGCTGCCTGCCTGCCTGCCTGCCTGCTCACCCAGCAGCAAGAAGCATGATTGATGCGCGCGCATGTGGAGCGCACAGCACAGCAGGCACGCCCCCACGATCACATCACGTGCTCCGTTCCGCCTTCCCAAGAATCACGCATCACGCATCACGAATCAAATCACTTTGAGTGAATCAATGAATGTTTCCCCAATGTTACGCTCTCAAAACTTTCAACAAGCATGCCCAATCTTTTTTCAATCTTGAGCGATGCGTCAAGTCCCTAAAGTCGTGACGTGAATGTTGTGGGGACGCTCAACGCGCAGAATATCACCCCCTTCCTCGACTCGTGACGATGCAGCCACCCAAAAAAAAAAAAAAAAACAAAAAACAATTTACAATTTACAAAAG